TACGGGCCCCGACCGCCGCCAAAAGCCGAACAATGCCGGCGGCCCGTCGCCGGCGGCGGCAGCGTGCCGCCACAATGGCGCTGCACTGATCAATGATGAGCTCCGAGCCGGTCGGCCGGCCGGCCCGGATCGCCGCCCGGCAGCCACACTGCCGCCGCCGAGCGCATCGACGGACGGCCGTCGACAGGTACACACGCGGTAAAAGGTCGATAGAAGCCGCCCGAACGGGGCAACCGCCGACAAATGAGAGCGATCGCCAGTGACGGACGGCCGTCACACACGGCGCTGTCAATTACCGATACCGGGTGCACGGGTGACGCATATCTGTCGGCGCCGGCGGCCGGCGTACCGTCAGGGTCGCCGGGCGACGCGGAAGGTCAGCGCCGTGAGTCACCGACCTGCCGCAGCCCCCGACCCTGCCTCGTACCCTGGCCGCCAAACTCCGGGAGCGCAACTAGCAGCACCAGTGCCGAACCACCGCGACAGATGCGTGCGGGACTCGGGACAGCGCCGGGCGGCGACGGGTGCCGTGTCGGCGCCGGCGAGCGGCCATCGCAGCTCCGAGCCACCGACCACGCACAGACAGACACAAAGAAGTCGGCTCGGACCCGTGACAGTCAGGCGAGAGTGGGTTCTCCGACCATGTCACGTCGTCATGGTCACGAACCGCCATAGCGGCCGTATTGTTATTTTGATTCTGCTTGAAAATAGGGGGAATATTTTGATTCTTTTGATAAATAGGTACAAGGCTGCGGAGTCGGAGTCGGAGTCGGAGTCGGTCGGAGTCGACAGTTGTGACCGGAGTCGGAGTCGGAGTCGGAGTCGATTTTGGAAACCCGAGCCGGAGTCGGAGTCACCGAAAATCTGTCGACTCCGCAGCCCTGCTAGGTCTGCGGAGTCGGAGTCGGGAGTTGGAGTCGGTCGGAGTCGACAATTCTGCCCGGAGTCGGAGTCGGAGTCGGAGCTGGTTTTTGAAAGCCGGAGTCGGAGTCGGAGTCGGAGTCGCCGAAAATCCATCGACTCCGCAGCCCTGGGTACAATTGCATCTAATTTTCGACCGCTGTAAGATTCATTTTATCGTGAAATGATCCTATATGTAAACTACCCAATATTTTTCTTCTTTTGGTTCACATGTCACTTGACGACGGCATTATGGAAGCATCACAACAGCCGGTTACTTCAAAACAAAAGGTAATAATAGCCGGCATCTTCACCATATTTTCTTTGGGTTGCAATTATAATTATTCATCACGAATGAGCAACGTGGGCGTAACAGAAATATGAATGAGAATGAGAATGAGAATGAGAATCAGAATGAGAATGTATATTCACGAAGGTCCACTGCTCTCAGGGGCTTTTCACCATCCCACGTCAATAATACAAGCATACGGATATAGGGAGCATTTACACCGATACATTCAAAACAATGGGAAAATAAAAAAAATAAAATCAAACGTCACCACAACTCACTCGTCACGGCACGCAAACAGGTGTTGCTTGGTGGCTGTTTTATAGACATGCCAGGCTTCCTAGGCACAGAGTTATATAACTTCACGGCACTGAAGCACAGCCGACTGCGTCCCGCTTCTGTGCGAATACGCGGCACTGTGAGGAGATCAGCAGTGCAGGGGCCCGGGAACGATTTTCAAGTTGGGGGGGGGGGGGCGAGCCTAAAATGCCTGACATGATGCATATGAAACAGTGGCGTAGCTAGGGGTCTAAGGGGACACGTATGTACCCCCCCCCCCCCATCGGGATAAAAGGGACCCTCGGGTCCGAGGGGCCCTGCGGCGCCATTTCACCGCTGAGGGTTAACGATGGCCATATTTCTACTCAGAAGGGCCCAATGGGGCTCGTTTGAGCACCTCATGGGCCCTAAATAGCCACACTAAGATCTCCATAAGGGCCCCACGCCGGCTTCTGAGGGCCTCTTGCGGCTTTTAAGGGCACCTCGGTGGTCTCTAAAGGCCCGTTACTGGCCTCTGAGAGGTCTTACCGGCCTATGAGGGGCCAGTTCTAGGGGCATTTCCCGCCTGTGATGGTCCCACACTTATTTTTCTGAGGGCCCCATAACGGCAACTGTGGGGCCCTCGTCGGCGCCTATGAGGGCCCACACCGGCGTCTCTGAGGGTTTCATACCCCCAACTCTGAGTGCCAACACCAGTGCCTATTAAAGCCCTATATCGGCGGCTCTGAGGACCCAACCAACACCTGCGCATCTAAAGGCCTGGTGACTTTTGAGGGCCCCACACCGGTGATTCTGAGGGCCCCACCGGCGTCTGACAGTACCATGCCGGTCTCTAAGGACCCCACAGGACTTCTTCTGCCGGCCTAAGGACCCCTTGCCGGTCACTGAGGCCCCTGCCGGCTTGTAGAGAGTTCGCGTCAGCAGCTCTAAAGGCCCCACGGCCCACACCCGTCTGTAACAGCTCCACACCAGCGTCTATGAGGGCCCACAGCAACGCCTGTAAGGACCCTCATCGGCGTCTCTGAGAGAATCACACTAGCACCTCTGAGCGCCCACACGGGCACCTGCATGACGGCCCCACACCAGCGCCTCTAAAGGCCCCTTACCGGCGGCTCTTAGGGCCCTACGCCGGTGATTCTGAGTGTGCTACCGGTAACCGAAGGCACCACACAAGCCCTTAGTGTCGCTGAGCTTTAATCCTATACCGGCCCTATGAGGGCGCCACGTCAGTGCACTCATTACCCCACACCCCTCCATCACACCCGGAGCGGGTAAACTGTGTTATACCTATAGCAACGATTTTACCACCGTTGTACGTTATGTATTTCTCAAAGTTGACTCAAGCTGGTGCAGTATAAAATCTGGCCTGCCAAACTTATGGCCAAGGTCAGGCCCAAATCAAAGCGGGATGACAATAGCAGATGATGTCAAATCGATCCTGTATCAGCAGAAACCATTCAGATGACAAGGAAAATGCCGTGTGTTGATGTTTTGATGTATAAAGGAAACAAGAAGGAAAGAAGTCCGAAAAAGGGAGGAAAGATCTTTTCTCGCTGCCTCAATGTTGAGGGGGCGCCGCCCCCACGGCTCCCAAGTTGGGGGGGCAAGCGCCCCCGCTGCCCCCCCCCCCCTGTTCCCGGGTCTATGCAGCAGTACGAGTACTATGGCTGTGCTGCTCACGAGCGGGAGAGCGGATAGTCGCGACTACTGGCCTCGGTACATCATCGGTAAGCAGTCGGTGAATGGTGATGACTCTATGGTAAGTGATCAGTTCATCAGCATTTAGCCACCCGAGCGATCGCACAACATCTGATATGCTCTCATGCTTGCGGCGTCCACTGAGCTACGTTGTTGAGCAAATTCGAGCGATCCGGTAGGGTCCAAAACCCAGAGCCGAATCCTTCCATCATAGTCCCTCGACATTAAACTGTTTGATACATTAAGGACATTGATTCGCTATAAGAAACTAAGCATGTGAGGTGTGACTTATGAAGGGATCCTGTCGTTACAATTTCGATATACCTATTCATACTGTAATACTGTGAATGTGGCCCACGACAACTTCCGCCTACAGAGACGCTAATAAGGTAAATGAAAAGTGCGGCCCGAACCGAACCTTACAGGATAGCAACATCAATTTCGGTTTGATATAGCGTTCATACAGCAAATTAAGAATTTCATCCCGATTAAAAAAAAAACGGAATCGATGCAGATACTCGTGTGGGGTGTAGTCATGGCAGGTCAGGAATCTTACATTAAAACTGGATCAGAACCACTGTTAGCGACACACTATGACATACGTTAAACTATAAGGCTCAGCAGCATACCTAATATCAACGGCATGCGTCAAGCCTGCCTCAGCACAGAGCCCTTTGATATGCCAAGCACCACCTACGCCAACCCCCAACAGCGTGTTTCGAATTGGCACCGCCAGCAGCAGTCATCCCAATGACATACGGACAGTGAAACGCTGCTGACGGCTCCCATGACATTCTTGATGACAGGTACGTGGTACGGTCCGTTAATGCAAAGCCGCAAGTGACAACCGACAGGCCTGTATACATACTGTATATGTGAGCCCTTTTCTATAAAACCGAACCGTTATAAATATGTCGAAGTGTTGTGAATTGAGACCATTTATTGACAATGGCTTCACACGTAAACACCAGTATTTTGTTCTTTTTTATCAGTACTTTTTATCCTACTTATTTTTGAAATACGGAAACCCCAGAGCACATTTAAAGGACGCGTCGCGGTTGGTTTCTATTGTGAAGTGATTAAGACAATATTCAATGGTGATGAAAAGTATTTGTGCCTCTCGTTTCACCAGGTCTGATAAAGCGCACCGGCATCGGCAAACACACGACGCTAGCGGACACTCCTCAATCTACATACTTCCAAACGCGGCTAAAACACTCTGGCGCCATGGATTTGCCAAGCATGCAGCCTACACGAGTAGCATGCAGTCGAAATTTTAGTTGCCCAATACACAGCCCTAGTCGATACCACCCATTCAGCAGTACTGAGGCAATTAGCAAACATCTGACGGGGAAACTGTGATCCCCTGTGACAATGATGTCGCATCGGAAGAGTCTCTGCCAGTGAAATAGAAGATAAGCAAACTATGTTTAACTGAAGGGTTGTGCGGAAAATAAGGCTAGAAAAAGCTGGCGATGTTAGCGCACCAGCAGGTGAAGTGCGCAGATTTGAGTTTGTGCGGCGGTTTGAGTGCCATTTACAGGAGACTCCCTACTTCTTTCCCGTTTATTTCCCGAGTTGGTGGTTTGTATTTTCTACGGGAGATGTCTAAAGACGGGAGTTGTAAAAAACGAATAAATCCTGTAACAACCGACGACTGACGAGCAGCCGCTCAGCGTGCCCTTCGATAGAAAATGCCGGAGTCTGGATAGCATGAGTCATCATTCCATAATACAAAAAGCTCGAAATGTCTTGGTCACCTGGCAGGGAGTCATCATCCATCTCCCACTCCCACCAGTCCCACCCGCTGCCGCGCGGCAGTGCGGGTACTCACAGTGTGACGCCGCGCGCCATCAGGTGCGACTCCTGCAGCAGCCGGCAGCAGCGCAGGCCGGCCCGTTTCAGCTCGCCGGCCGCGCGGCAGAACTCGTCCACTCGGCGCTGGCCGTCCGCCACCCGGAGCCGGGCGACCGCAGCGCCACCTACACAGAGCAGCAGCGCCGCCGCCAGGGGGAGCCACCAGGCCGGCAGCCAGACGGCGACCGCCAGAACGGCCAGGAAGACAGACAGCAGAAACGAGCTGGAACAGCGAGAAACGCCACTGATAAACAAGTACAGCCTTAAACATCCATTGAATATGGACAAATGATTCGATATACTCATGCTCATGATACAACATCATGACATATTACGTTCAGCATAAAATTTACCGCATATTTTCAGCTGTTAGGCAGGCTACACATATAGGCTGGTTTCCACCCCATCCCGCGCTGCTGCCTGACTCCTTACTCCGTAGTGGTGGCGGTGCCCGGCTGGCGGCTCTGGTCGGAGCACAGGTCGGCGGCCATGGCTCGGTCCCGATCGGCCATCAGACCGCTGTCCAGCAGGGCGGAGAGTGCGGCGGGCACCAGCCGCGGGCCGGGCCGCACACCGAGCCAGTCGGCCACGGCGGTCAGCTGCTCCCTCACACCGGCCACCTGCCGACACACCGCACAGTACCGACAGCACACCTTAGCTTGAGCTGGGATACAATTACTGGCAGTATCAACCAAGCGAAATTTTTCGAACTCTGGAGTCTGGATTTACAAGTGGTAGGACACATCACTCGTGTTACGTTCTGATCCTAAGGGTGCCTTCGATCTGAGATAGATTTATCATCTCTAAATGGAAGCTGGATTGCTCATTATTTCATTGAATTAGCATAGAGACACATGTTAAATATTTGGGAGAAGACTAGATAGGCCTCCAATTCAGAAGACAAGCTGTCCGAATTTCTGCTGTTTGAGCAAACAGCTCAGAGACTGGCTGACTTACTTTCTGTTGTGTCTGGACAGACACCTCGGTTGATTGAATGACAGTCTGCTGCAGGCAGGAGGCTGACTCAAAGTCACTGAACCCACTGGATACAAGATGCTCATACAGAGCCGTGTTCTGAAACATGCCATGGGAGGCACCATTGAATTCGTCATTCAGATGTTTGGGTTTGATGCCTATTGTCTTCAGCTCAATGCCTAGCTTAGACATTGGGGCACCAGGAATTTGAACTGCACAAAACATTAGCAACCTTCATTTTTTTCTTCCTTGTCCTAGCTCACTCTTTTCCCTTTTAGTCTCTTTCTGGATTAAAACTGCATCATCATAGGTGTAGATTTCCACTGAGCTGGGGGTGCCCGAGCTCAGTAAATTGCCACCGCCCTAGTGGTGACCTTGACTCCCGCCGTCTGTTGCGGCTCCAAAGCAAAGCAGGAGTGGAATTGGGAGAGCTCGGGCACCCACAACTTTACATAAATCAGCGCCCAATGTGTAGCATTATGATGACCATTTGCAGTTGGTGTTTACTTTCATTGCAACCTGAACTGCAAGGCAAGGCGAACTCAGTAAATTGCCACCGCCCTAGTGGTGACCTTGACTCCCGACGTCTGTTGCGGCTCCAAAGCAAAGCAGGAGTGGAATTGGGAGAGCTCGGGCACCCACAACTTTACATAAATCAGCGCCCAATGTGTAGCATTATGATGACCATTTGCAGTTGGAGTTTACTTTCATTGCAACCTGAACTGCAAGGCAAGGCGAACTCAGTAAATTGCCACCGCCCTAGTGGTGACCTTGACTCCCGCCGTCTGTTGCGGCTCCAAAGCAAAGCAGGAGTGGAATTGGGAGAGCTCGGGCACCCACAACTTTACATAAATCAGCGCCCAATGTGTAGCATTATGATGACCATTTGCAGTTGGAGTTTACTTTCATTGCAACCTGAACTGCAAGGCAAGGCGAACTCAGTAAATTGCCACCGCCCTAGTGGTGACCTTGACTCCCGCCGTCTGTTGCGGCTCCAAAGCAAAGCAGGAAAGGAATTGGGAGAGCTCGGGCACCCACAACTTTACATAAATCAGCGCCCAATGTGTAGCATTATGATGACCATTTGCAGTTGGAGTTTACTTTCATTGCAACCTGAACTGCAAGGCAAGGCTCTCAACTCTCAAGTGAGACTGCTAAACAAAAGTTAAAAATACCTTGACCTACCTTCAAATATCTGGTAAGTTGTCATAAACTGTCATACTAAAACTTACACTGAAAACCACCTCATCATCTTCTAGTTCATCCATGGCCCCTGATTCTGCTCGTTTGGTCTGCAGGAAAAGAAAAAGACCAACGTGATCATATGATCAACATGAAAAATGTCACTTGATGATGTTGTTGAAGAGTTTAGGGTGTGCAGCAGCTTGGCTCAAGCGTCCAACAAGATGAGTAGTCACGTATGGGAACATATACAAAACCCAATTAAACCAAATGTGGCAAATTAAGCCTTAACTATGGCCTTGCCGGCCTTGCCTAAACCTATTACACAGATAACAGTAGTACTGGATTGGAAACAGGATTCCGGTGGCTGCAGTAAGAGGCCGAAAACAGAACCGACTATTTCGTGCCCAGACTTCGATATCTCCTCTCACAGGCAACAAAAAATATTGGTTTATGTGATTGTGAATGAAACTTATAAAGAAGCAATCTAGCCGTGCTCGTGTTTATTGTTGCGTTTTTGCATAATGGCAACTTATTTCACTAAACGTTGCTGGTTACACTTTCCTCACCGTGGTGAGGGAACGTATGCCACTGATTTGATTATAATGATTTCTCACTCTCATCAACAAAAAGAACTTTACAATGTACATGGGAGTTTGATCTCTTTATTTACATGCTAATCGACACCAGTCCTGTCACAACGAACCATCCAAACATCACAATTCAAACAAACGTCACAAAACACCCCTTCAAGTGTCACTTTGCTTCGCCTGCCCTCCCAATTTCATCAGCGACCTTACTTCCCCGCCTTACATCTTCTTGACCCTGCTGAGCTTTAGCCTCTTGTCGCTCCTCGATCGGGTTGCACCAGTGGCTGGGGTGTCTGCTTCTTGACTTTCGATGGACAAGCACTGTCTGTCTCACTTATCAGTTACCATGTTTCCACACTTTCCAGCGAATCGATTGAAAACCGTCGCATACATCTCTGGAAGGAGGCTCCTAAAGACGTCGTGGCTATAATTGCAAACGACTTCCGGTCAGTTCGACATCCCGGTGTACGACTATCTTCGTCACTTCTGCGTCACTTCTTGGTTGATCGCAGACCAGCAGCTGGTTCCTGTTAGCTTCCATCTTCGGCAGTTGCCTCCAAATATGGCAGATCCTCACGGTGAGGTCGATGTCTTCCTCGTCTTTCTCCATGTCGTACCTCCAGCGGTGTAGCACCATTATAGATTTGCAGGCTAGCGGAGGCACCGTACTTGTTACGCCTGGTGGCCGAGCGTGCCAAGGCGCCGGAGCTGTGTCCCAGGGAGGCCTTGGCGCTGTCATCCAGGTCCTCCATTTCAGTGGATTTCGCCACCGCGGCCACTAGCTCCTGGATGACAAGAGCACCATCCTGCTGTCACTCCTGCCGTGATGGTGCCATTCGGGCGGAGGCGTCGGCGGGGCTGAAACGTGACCAGTGACCACCATCTGAGGCCCTTAGTTCGGAGTACCGCCTCATCCTCCAGGAATTGTCGGACAGCCGACCAGTTGTAGTTGCCACCTGATAGCTGATATTGTCATTTGTGAAGAACGTATCGGTCTGGCCCTTCATAACATGCTTCTGGTGTGAGTGGCGTGCCGATGCTATGGCTAGTTTCGCTGGCCGCTCGTGCACAGGGGGCATCGCGTAATCCACGCTGGTCAATACTGACAGCACTGCGCCGCTCTTGAGCCGACGGCGCGGTCTCTGCATGCCGGTGCGAAATGACCGATCATCTTCGAAATCTTTCTTTCTGAAATGCAGCTCACACACCAACACAGCGGAATAGTCCTGATCCCACTCAGCCTGGTCACGGTGACCCATGGCGCCAACCCACTGAGCCCGTAGAGGTGTTTCGGTGAGAAAAGCGAATAGGTAGCATGTGAGACATCTCCTGTTTTAATCTTTTGTTCCTCTTGGTTTGTTGGGTTTTAGCCAGAACGGCAGCTTTTACCGCTCATTCCCCTCCTCCATTGTTGATGTACTTATACGTTAAGGCTTTGCACTGCAATTTTTTCAAAAGAAAACACCATGCAATGTGCCCTCTAAATTATCAAATTAAAAGTGAAATACCTCAATTCTTTTAGCAAATGAAAGTAACATTGGTAGCTTCGATTTTAAATGCAAACGACAAAACACAAAAATGACGATTTTTGCCATACACAACACACAAATTATCCACCCAGCAGCACGCGAGAATCCCATTTTGGCGCCGTCGCATAAAAACATTCGGCCTCTTACTGCAACTGCCAATATTCTGTTTCCAATCCAGTACCTACTACTGTTACTACAGTACTACTGTACTACTGTGCAATGGTTCTATCTCAATCTGTGATAGAACCATTGCACTATACTACCCAAGGGCCAAGGCTATATTGATATAGATACTGAATCAAAATAAATACTACCACAGTGTATATAAATATAGATACTACCATTACACAAGGTATATGGCATCAGCATCAGCATTGTGCACAACAAAATATATCATATTCAAGGCCATATATAGTATCATATTTCTTACCTTCAATCTTTTGAATGTCACTTATGCGCAGTATATGAAGAAAATAACATTCCTTTCATTTTTTGTTCGCAAGTTTAAGTGCTGCTAGCGCGAACAGGAACTCAAGGAAGAAAACGTTATTCATTGGCTTAAAATGCAGTTGCCATGGAAATTCTGAAGAGCGCTAGCAGAGCGGCCCGATGTGAATAAGCTTTTGTGAAGATATCAATCTACGTGCGATACACGCGAGTTGCACGCGAGAGTGGAAAGGTAACTGCTTTTACTAGGTATTTTATTTGATACAGCCCAAATACAGCCTATGGATGCCGCGGTTGTGCTTATGTTTTTGTGACTGCGTTGTAGAGCATTTGTCACCGTCCACCACACAATATCCTGATTCCTGTATTGGTATTGGTATCGATTACAATTTTCAAATTACTCCTACTGGTAACTGAACTGATGAGAGTGGTATAGGTAAGCTTTAAATTTGGCTAAATCATAATTGGATACTATAGGCAGATAATTATATTCCTTACTTTATATTGTCAAAAAATGTGTTTTAAACCCAGGCCGCAAAGCATTGCATTCTCAAAGATCAAGATCTGGTTGGTATGGACTGTAGGCCTTCAGCCAGTGTGTGGTGCAGTTTGGATTGCAATTGCGGATTTATCTGAGTGTTAGGGACTAGGGTACAGCTTCCAACAGTCATCATGTTCCCATGCAGACCTGCTGTGCTTTTGCATCATTGTCAAAACCAAGGGCTCCGCCACCGGGGGGGACGGGGGGGACACGTCCCACCCAACCAAAATGTTGGGTGGGATATAGTGTCTTTTGTCCCCCCCAAAAATCTGTCCAAATTTCCACTATAGTTATTCAAACGTATTACAGATTTTGTCACTCTAGAAGAAAAGGCGGCAACGGAGTTTGAAAGCAATCGCTTCCATATGAAGTAACCCTCTGCTAACCATTTTTCTTTCATAGGCTTACCCCGTGGCCGTTCCCTTTCTTCTAGAGTCTAGAAGAAAGGGAACGGCCACGGGGTAAGCCTATGAAAGAAAAATGGTTAGCAGAGGGTTACTTCATATGGAAGCGATTGCTTTCAAACTCCGTTGCCGCCTTTTCTTTCATTTTTCAAGTTGTGGGAGGTTAACAGGCCTTTGCCGTAATACGTAATGTGCAAATATGTACAGAGCTGAAAAATGGATTGGCTGTCTCCAACTGTACAATAACAGGCTCAATTGTGTCTCCCTGTCTCAAATTGTGCAGATATGACATAACATACCACATAATGCATATGTCATGAACAACATGGATTATACACATATGTACAATGGTTACATTTTTCTTTTGAACGTTTTCACCAAAATAACAGGTAACAATCGACCGCCCAAATGGTAACAGAAACATCTTGATATTTTAATGCATGAACATTACAACTTGGTGTCAATGCTAACGCCAGCGGTAAGCAGCGTGGTAGTGGCCGTGAAACGGACAAGCGTTTTTAGACGGTCGCCATAAGTGTCCGCGCCGGCGAGCGCCAGATGAAAGCGCCCATTGTTACATTTTATGGCACACAGATGCTACCATTGGGCCCCAATCCCATACTGAACGATACGTAAGCGAATGCAGATGTCTGGGCATCGCTCCGAGCGGCGAAGAGCCTCCGCCCTACCCCATCCGGGCTAACCTGTGCCCGGGCGCCCAACATTTGTTGGGTGGCCGGGCCGCCTGTGGCCCGCGTGACGGGTCGGTGGTCAGGGGGCGCCGCCTCGCGTGGGTAGAGGTGCGAGGCGGCGTGGGCGGAGGCCGACGCTATCATCTGCAGTGTAGTGATACCCTAGGTTGTGAATATCTATATTTGTGATGTATGAGTGTCAATCAGATGAAGGCATTGAAGCTAGCTGCAATAGTTTGAGAATGTTTGGGGCAGGGTAACAATTGAAGCGCTGTTCTCGTAATGGCCAACATATGGTGAATACATATCGTGGTATCGGATGATGCATGTAGAGTAGCTGATTAATTTATCTCGAGTGCAATAACTATATAGCTCTTTGCTTTTGTATAAAAGGTGACAACAACATTGTTTAAACTAAGGTGTTATGCATATCTTACCATCAACAAACGATTCAAAATAAAAATTAACTGAATTCGCAACTGAATTCGCGACAAGTAGATACATGCATGCACCTATTCATGTCTGGGCATCGCTCCGAACGGCGAAGAGCCTCCGCGCTACCCCATCCGGCCTAATCCGTGCCCGACCGCCCAACATTTGTTGGATGGCCGGGCCCCTGGCCACCCGCTATTCTTACAACCGTCTTTGATTTGCGAGACCGCCCCCCCTCCCCTAACCTGAACTCCGTGGCGGAGCCACTGGGCAAACCATTTTTTTTTACTGTATTAAAAAAAAAAAAATAATCGCGCCAGGGCTATGACGAAAAATAAGTGGCCTAAATCCGATGAGAAAACAGGATTTGGGGGTACCCTAGGTTTAGAGGACACACAGGGCGATGAGCGAAGAATTGTCCCCCGTCCCCCCCAACCAAAAGTCTGTGGCGGAGCCCTTGGTCAAAACAATATGTATAACACAAATGGGCCCAGATAGTGCCATTTATTGCATTTTTTTTTCATTGAAAAGTGTAGCTATTTTATCTAATGGGTAAAAATTTGATTCTTTCTTGGTCTGGCCTAGTGCTAATTTAGATTTTCAGTCTGGTTTGTGTAGGCTGGTGGTGGTGCAGCTATTTTGCCTAGGCTGTTGCAGGCTGCATACTGTATTGGTATTGCCATGGCTTGTACTCTGGCTTGAAACTATAGAGAAGCCAGGTATATTGATCATTGATTATAGCATAGGCAGGCAGAGGCGCCAATGCTCAAACTCAGCAATGACTTTCAATTACTTATCTTATCTAGCCTTTTCTGACATGTAGACTGTAGTTACATATAGTTAGTGTCAGCAACTCCAGGTGACAGGTGTAGCAGTGTGGAAATAAAGTCCTGTTATTGGTCCATTTATGTAACTACCACTCCAGTTTATCATTCCCATGATCTGTGATCTCATCTTTTGCATTGTGTAGGTCCTATGCACGCACAACACCTATTTTGACCGTTGCCTCCTTCCGTACTGCAGCTGGCTGCCATCTGTCGACCAGCCGGTGAACTACTGTGAAGGTCACTGGTGCCGGTGCGTCCAGCCAGAGACGGTCGGAGCGTCACGTCTGGTGGACGGACGGGCGCGCCCACCTCTGAGCACGGCCTCGGACGTCCGTGCTGGCCGCCGACCAGAGTCAGCGCAGTGGCGTGACGAGTCGCGCGGGGACAGTGAACGATTGGTCCCTGTCATTGTGAGACGAGAGCGAGACAGTGTGAAACGGAGAGTGAGACAGTGAGATGGGCGACGAGCTGCTGCTGCGCTCGCACTGCCCGGGCGGCGCCGGCTGCTTCTGCGCGGGCGCTGAGCACGTGTACGTGCGCGAGAGGACCGTGACGCCACCTCGCACCGGCCTACGCAGGTGAGTGTCCCTACCAGACTGCTGGAACGGAGGGCTGCGCTCCCTCGACCGACTGATTGCGTTACGTGAGATCCCGGAAATAACCTGACTCGACGGAGACTGCGCGACATTTACTAGCACTGACGAACACGACTTGCCGAGGGTTGTGGCCAACGAGTCAGCTTCTGGTCAATTGCTATGCAAAATGAAAATCACGGACCCGTATAAGACCCCAGTCATTGTATACAACAATGCATCGGAGAGCATTGACGAAAGACGTTATGAGCGAAAAAATGCTGCGGTATCGCGATTTCAATGCAGTGTCCCATTTATGCTTGTTTTATATGTCAACTATCTCCGTTGGGTCACAATGGGATTGCACTTTTTTCGTTTAGAGGGCTGGTTGCAGTGGCAGCTGCAGTGGCAGCTGCAGTGGGCTCAGCAGATTCCATTGCGGTCATGCGGAGCGAGTCGTCCTCGTCCCCCAATGCCCGTCTCCTGGGTGGTGTTTCACCGTTAATAGCAGCACGCTGCTATTCATTTCGCGAGCTGACGTCACACTTGTGGTAGTGTTGGAGGCTGGAGCAATGGGCTTGTTGACGTCTCCATGGAAACCCAGTTTGACACGTGTAATAGCATCGTGCTGCTATCATTGGTGCCTTGCCCAGTAGGTATATAGGGGCGTTCCAGCGCACCGGAGGCCGATTCGAGGCCTCATGGCTCATAGGACCTGCTATTACCGGCCCATGCTCCGATCAAGGTCGACTCGGGGCTGGCGTTCGGCCTGCCGGCGCCGCCCGATTCAAACATAACGACTGACGCGGGCGTGGTGACGTCACGGCCACCTGACGAGGAATGTATGTTGTATGCATGGGTTCGACGGTGATGACCCCACTCCCTAGGGATGGGCGTGGCACCAGGTGTTAACTTATTTATACGAGAGTTTCATCGTGAAGTTATTTGTGAAGTTCTATGACGAGATATTTCATTTCTCCATCGCATTTTGATATTGTCCTCCGATGATCACTGGTTATTGGTTACTCAGTTCAGATTACTGGCACTCGACCTATTCCCGAAAAGCACTTGACTCTCGAGTGGCTGTCTGAAGTGCAGACCGATACCCTCCCGCTCTGATCAATGAGCTATGTCCGGCCCTATCGGGGCGCGGCTAGGTAACCCACTCGAGCTGGGTGTGTGCTCCTGTGACCTGACGGCACACTGATAAACAGAGTCCACGGCAGAGCGCGTCATTCGGCCGCCACCGTCAGTGGCAGTCGCACTGCTGTGACCAATCGACTGGCTCGGTGTGTGAAGCGACAGACAGCCCTCGAAGAGCCAGGTGATTCTCAGGTAGGCAGCACAGGAGCGTCCCACGTGTTAGGCGGTGTGGACGAAAGAATGGCCAGTGAACAAGTCCCAGATGAACGGCTCCCGTATGGCAGTATGCCAGCTTGACAAATGCGTAGGGAAGATATTATCTAATCTTCATTCACCTTTGTCGTTACTCCTTTGTTTTACATGATACATAATAATCGTTCATGGATGTGCTGCTTCAGCATTAAGAACACTCACTCTGTCTGTTGGTAGTTACAGTATTGATGGAACTCGTTATTAGTTCTACCATATTGAGTGACTCATGTGTTACCAACAGCGCGCGGCTGGATGTTTTCGCTCCGAGCGGCGATGGTCGCTGGTGGCCAGGTCATTACACGCGGTCGCTCGGTGTGACGACCCAAACAAACAGGCACGCTGTCGGCACCGCTCGGCTCCCACCGGCCGCCGCCGGCGCCGCGGACCGCTAGATGCACTGACCCTCTACCGGCAGCGGGCAGGCTGCGTGTGATGGCGGTCCAGTGGTCCAATACTGGTCCTCTCCGATCGTCCAGCAGATGGTCCGACGGTCCACTGGTCTAGGAGCGACCAGAAGGCGCAGTTCTGGCAGACAGGCCCTCATTGGTAGGTAGTGGCGTCGGCGACTGTCCGCCCGTCCTAAATCGTCTAGCCACCTGGGGACATCTGTTTGCCTGTCGCCGAGGCCGACGGAGTCCGGGCCGGCGGAGTCCGGGCCAGCTGCTACATGGTCTGTGAGATTTGTCCGGATCTGGAATGATGGCTTCCGTGTTGATACTGTGTCGATACGTTCTGTCCCTAGTCTGTGGTCTACTATTCAGCCGTCTACCAAATTCCCGCGCTGGGCACTGCGACGGTGACTGGCGTCTGGTCTTACAACAGAGCCAACGGAAACCACGAAACAATGACTCACTGAGCGATTCAAACGGCCAGCTGGTGTGTTAACAGATAAGACCAAACGACGTCAAATCGCTGTATTGGCAGTGATAAAAATGAGATCTAGTTGTCCGGTGTACTTTGGAGTGCGAGGACTCCAGGCGTCGGAGTGGCCCTTGTGCGTTATCGGCTTGTTTCGTCACACGCACCCGCCGCCCCGCTACACTGCGGTGTCCTGATATTGTGGTTTTATTGCGGGGTAATTCACCGGCTAACGTCGCCCGGTGCCCTGTCGTTGCCTTTGGACTTTGCCAGGCTACCGAGTACCGCCGCGCATGCGGCGAATTCAACTTGCCCCGAATCCGTCGCTTGGTCAATGACTACTTCGCACGAAACGATGCGAGTTACGAGCTGGTTGAACCACATAGCTATGTTAGATCGATCCTTTGCTTCCTTAGCTGAGCGAGCAGGCTACTGAGGTGGGTCCGGGGGCACGTGCCACTCAGCGCCGCCGGGGTGGCGGCACCCTGACGCCGTACGCTCGGGTCGGGCGTGCCGGGTCACCCCTTTGTGCAGGCGTCGTCACCTGGACGGGTCGCCGTCCGATACATTCGTTCGATGTATTATGTATCGGCCGCGAGCGTGTCGTGGCTATCGACTATGCGACGGCGGGGTGAGCGCCCCGACCCGGCCCGGCACGACTCACGAGCACGAGGCGGGGCGGGGAGGGGGGAGGAGGCTCGGTCCGACCGGGTCCGTCAGTGTATGTGCCGCCAGGGGTGATGTCACGGGCGGCCGGTCCCGTCCCGTGAGGTGAAACACGTGGTTTAGGAACGGCGTCATTGGCGAACACTGTTCACCATTGTCATAGTGAAACGTCATTGGGCTGCTCTCGGATGCAAGCAATTGGCAATGCGCTGCTGGTAAGAATTGGCAAGGTTAGGTAGTGTGGGCGCTAAATTTCCCCAGACAGTTCACAGGTATTTCCTCCTCACCAAAGCTTGCTCTCGGACCCCGTATAGCGGCCGTTCAGTTGTATGCAACGCCGCATTCCCTGCCGACTATGTTGCACTGGCATTCGCGACGTGGGCGAACCAGCATGGCCGCAGCATTGCTGACGAGCACCGATGACGTCACTGCGGCCTGTGGCAGTGTTGTATCGTGTGCAGCGCGATACATTGTGAGTGACCACTGTTTTGTGTCGAGCTGTTCCGTGTCCGGTGTAGTGTAATACGGGGTAAACCAGACGCCTGCCTCCGGATGTAAGAACATATGGAGGTGAATCCCATGTCAGAGTCGATAGAGAGAAATGTAGATAAATGGGGTGTTCTAGAGACGGACTAAGAATATCATTGGGTCAGGCAACAGGGGTGCGAAGGTCCACTCCCTACCGTCGATTCGACAGTCTGAGAGATTGGGGCGAATGCTGAGAGCCAGGCAGACAGGGCGGGTTGAGAGAGTGGTAGACAGCGATAGATAGCGGAATCTGAAGGGACAGGGTGTGCCGTTTGAGTGGAGAGACGTGTCGAACTGGTGAAGTGAAGTGGATAGATGGGGTGACTTGGCCGGCACTCGGCAGTGTGGAGTAGAGTGGAGAGGGGTGGGGTGGTGGGGGGGGGGGGGGGCAGGTGAAGTGTTGAACAGTTGGCAGCTGTGTGTCGGCAGCAGTGCTGAGTGCTGACAAGAGGCCGTGTTTGCCAACTTTTGATCCGCTTCACCTGTATCTAGTCTTGTGATTCCGCTTGAGATATAGCTGATTAGATGCTGCTGATTTCTGCCGTTGTTGGATATGCCAGGCACCCTCGGCTGAGGATTCTCGCTGGTTCCGTCAGTAATGATGACTCACAAAGTGCTACCATCCAGTGCACTGTTCAGCAGCTCGCTGCTCTCACGCTGCGACCTATGAGTGTTTTCATTGTTTACAGTCGGCAGTATTTCACGGATGACGAGGCTGCTATGGCTGCTTGCGTTGAAAGGCCGGCCTTGTGCCTGTGCCAGCAGTGTGAGTCATTAACCTTGACCGTGCCATTACCGAGCGCGTACTGGAGCGGCGCATTGCCTGGCACCGGCGGCGGTTTACGGCGGGCACTGCGGCTCCACACCGAGCAGTCGAGCCGTCACGGTCTGAAGGGGAGCCAGGTCACGACGCAGTACGCTAACGCGGCTCGGTACGCTCTCCACCCCTAGCGCACTGCACGTGCTAATGAAAGGGAGTAAGTGGCATTACTCTGCTACCTACTGGCCGTATAGAGTCCCCCGCCTGCCGTGGACGGGCGTCGTCGCCCGGTGTTTGCAGTACGAGTCGCGCTGTTGGAGATAGCGCTCCGTTGCGTGCGGTCGGCCGTGGGGTTACGGTGGCTGCTGGTTTATGCGGCCCGGTGCCATGAGCTGGCCGGCGTGCCGCGCTCAGTGGACCGCGGCTCATGCGCCGCAGATTGCAGGGAGTGCCCGGCGGCGGGACCGGCCGACGACGCGGCGTCTTTCCTGGCCAGGAGGCCGGCCGCGCGGCGTCCGCCCCCGCCCCCGCCCCCGCCCCCGCCCAGGAGGCCGGACGCGGTCTCCGGCAGCCGGCGTGGCCTTGGCGGCGCGGGCCGGGCTGCCGTCTGCTCTGCAGCTCCCTCCCTCTCTGCCTGCCTACCCTCGTGGCCGGCAGGACGCCGGTACGGCCGCCCGCGTGGCGCTGCGGTGTTGGTGTTACGTGTATGACCAGTTTGGAATGAAGGGTTCCAACTTCCACGAGCTACAAACCCCGAACCAAAATGGAGTGAGCGTCACGAGCTGAGAGGATGCTGAGCATAGGCCGTCATCGGACCCGTCACCGCGTGTGGGACGGGGACCTTGCCCTCTCCACTGCTCTCCTCGACTGATGCGATGTTTACACCGTGCAAACACCGTGATTTTCAGAAGCATATCCCCGCGACTCGCTGCTGCTTGGAGCGTGTCTTGGCGTGATGATGCATCGCTAGACGGTCGTGGAATGCCTCACACCACTCGGCACGGTTCGTCGGAAGGTCATCTCAGGCTCAAAAGAAACGATATATACCATTCGAAAGCTGACGGTGAGCTGAATCCAAAAAGGTAATTTTTATCAAAATCGATCGATGGCCTTTTTTGAAAATTGCGTTTTTGTAAAAACTTAATTATCTTTTATTCAACGGGCTGTCCCGGACATTCTTGAAAACATAAACATGTATTTTTGAGTTCCAGTGAAAGCTGAACGCCAAAAGAACAATATTTAGCGAAGCAATATTTCCAAACATTAATATGCGTCTCCCACAGCCGACAATAAGGCGCAATGACACAGCTCAGTGTCACGATGGACCAAAGTCAGCCACACAGAACCGTGAAATGGCCCTTATCGACTCGCAGACCCGGCGCTCTCGGCCCGCCTGACCGGCCACGGAAAGAACGTTCGGCTCTCTTTCTACTAAACAAATGTCAAATTTGTCAGTTTAACTGTCCACATCGCTGTTAAAGTTATTCAGGATACCTGTGAAGAAAATTCATTGCTCTGTCATCTTCACATCATGCATTAATTTGCATTTGTTCATGTCTACTTTGCTCAATTGAACTTGGTATCATGCCCATATAAGGAAAATTGGCCGCGCTGAAATGTCAGAGGTTGCACCGGCCTCAGCTCGGGTGGAGTGGGGGTAGCGCCCGGCGGGGCAGGGTAACCTTTGACCGGTCGCACGGCCGAGCAGCTGTCACCAGTACAGCCTCTGACAATGAAACCCCGCTCACTTCCTCTGCGCGGGCACTGATCGCAGCTGATGGAACAAAACATGTATAAAAAATGTAAATTAAAGCATGTTGTAAATCAAGCAGAACAATGAATTTTCTTCCAAGGTATCCTGAATAACTTTAATAGCGATGTGGACAGTTAAAGTGACAAATATGACATTTGTTTATTAGAACGAGAGCCGAACGTTCTTTTCGTGGCCGGTCAGGCGGGCCTAGAGCGCCGGGTCTGCGAGTCGATAAGGGTCATTTCACGCTTCTGTGTGGCTGACTTTGGTCCATCGTGACACTGAGATGTGTGATTGCGCCTTATTTTCGGCTGTGGGAGACGCATATTAATGTTTGGAAATATTGCTTCGCTAAATATTGTTCTTTTGGCGTTCAGCTTTCACTGGAACTCAATAATACATGTTTATGTTTTCAAGAATGTCCGGGACAGCCCGTTGAATAAAAGGTTAAGTTTTTACAAAAACGCAATTTTCAAAAAAGGTCATCGATCGATTTTGATAAAAATTACATTTTTGGATTCAGGTCTCCGTCAGCTTTCGAATGGTATATACCGTTTCTTTTGAGCCTGAGATGACCTTCCGACGAACCGTGTCGGGGCAGTCGTGAGTGTGACAGTGTCTGGCGGCGAGTGTCCGGCGTGGAGGTGGTTCAGATCCGATACCGGGGGCTGTCTCACCCGATTGGACCCAGGTGTCGGCCGTTACCGGCGCTGGGCCGCTGCCAGTATCCCTCCAACTCACCGGTCTGTCCGTAGAGCGCCCCTCTGGCCGAGTGCCACGTTTCGTCAGACTCCCGTGACTGGCTCCCCTGTGCCGTCGGGCTGATGTCACGTGGTTTGCTGACCGCGCCCCTCCCTCCCCTCCCTCGTAGGGGAGCGGGCACCCCTGCCTGCGCGGCGCGCCGCTCGTAAGGCTGCTTGTTTCCGTGGCCAGGGTGACGAGTGGGCCGGCTACTCGCCCCGGTCCGGTCCGGCTCCAGTCGATGACGGCAGCCAGCGCGGTCGGTCCGCTGCCTGCCGTCTTTACCGCCGTCCTGCCGTGTGTCTGTGCCCTGTGGTGTAGTGGTTGTGGAACCAGATACCAGCGACTGTGAGCCGAGGGACGTGCGATCCTCCCCGCTCGTATAACCAGCCAGGGGTAAGTGTGTGATGCCTGCCGTGCTGTATTACCTGGCACCTGGCTGATCCTGTTAGCCGCCGCGGTTTCAGGCCATCGATCGGTCTTTGTTAGGTCCGGCGACCGGCTTTGTCCGTCCGCCAGCTTAGCTGACTGCCGGTGTGGCCAGGCGGTCTGTTTCAGTGTCAGTGTCGACGCCGTCACCCTGTGTCAGTCTGGAGGTACGCGACACAGGTGCTGCTATTGGCGCTACGAGCCCCTGTCAGCCGGCTGACGCCCCCAAACAAACAGCGAGGCTGCGGCCCGGTGCCAGAGTACGCAGCCCAGACGTTTTTGTCTGTGTTCTTATCCAGCCTTTTCACGTAATGGACTTCCCGGCTCTCTGCTGGTCTTGGACTGGGAATAGGGTCAGTTCTTACTGGGCATTGGCAATTGATTTGCCACTAAACTAGCTTGGCTTGTATTCCGCTTCCGTGAAATGAGGTTAGTGCGCTGACAACGAAAATTAGATAATTAGGTTATTAATTGGGCAATATTTTACAGCTGTTGTGATGTTAGTGACAGTCGGCGGTCACCATGCCCCCTTACTGAGCTGCTTACCCTGAAACCTAGCTGCCCAGTACGAACACCCGTCACAGTCGAGGTACCCTGAACCCTAGCGCTGCCCTTGGGTATTCCGACACTGAGTCCCTGTCCCGAGTTCTGAGCACTGCTCACTCGAGGTGCTCACCTCGACAGTGTACCCTGGCCAAGGATTAACCCGTCCCCGAGAGGCAGCCAAATGAGACACCGAGCTCACCTTGAGCTGGAATACTGATAATCCCCGTTACTGACCAGTGACCATCGACGACCGACGACCGACGGCGGATCCCGACGGCTGACAATTTTCTAATGATAATCACCTTCCCCTCCTCTTCGCTGCTGGCTTCTTGGCATATGCGTGTCGCTTCGCTGCGCTAACCTTCACCAGTGTAGTATTGGTCTCGTCTAACGTCTTGTAGTATCGCCTCGTCTAACGTCTTGTAGTATCGCCTCGTCTAACGTCCTGTATGTACTATGTAGTATCGCCTCGTCTAACGTCTTTTCTCTCGGTCGGTGTGTTTCAGCTCCAGGTCGCGGCGGTCGGCTAACAGAGCGCGCGCTGTAGAGACGGTCACAATCAGTAAAACCAATACTCAGTCAGCTACTATATCGACAACGTCCACGGTATGAAGCACGCCATCAGGCTATTAGAATTTATAGATTCATGTAAAATGGGGGAGAGAGGGGGTGCTTTTGCATTTGCTTTCACTATTTTTAAATATAGTTATTCGTCCGATTGCATCCACCGTCGTGGTGTTACTCTTGCCTTTACCAACCATGATATAGACTATGCTCAGCTCTTGTATATCAGATTAATCTCAAGTGGGAGTGGAACACATTTATCAGTTTCTGAGTATCAGTCATCGATACAGTTTTCTCGGTGAATTACCATTGTTCGTTGTCATCGCACAGACAGTGTCACTTTGCGCTTTGCTCTTCTGTCGGACAATAGGTTCTTGTTCCCAAGACTTATCAGCACTCTATGGGAACGCCGTCTTTTTGACATTGGACTTTGATGTGCCAATGATTTCATAAAAGTCATGTTAAAGTTATTCGTTGATGAATTCCGTTGTGATCGTGAATCAAGACGGTCTATTTTGCCCAGCAGTAGGCTACTTATTTGCTATAACTCTTACACATATTGCAGTTCACTCAACGCAAAATGCATACTTTCATCCCAGAGTAGTTCAATATACTGTATTATTACTGTAGCGCTACATTGACTCTTTCGCTGGTAGAAGTAAACTTCTCTCCGCTTTTTCAATGCTGCTCTCTTGTATCTAGTCCTGGCTCTGTATTACTATTTGAGTAGCTACTGCCGGGTCGGTCGCTGCCTCGGGACGCGCACTACTGTCTCCTGAGTCCTGACCGGCCGCTCGCGTGACTGGCGCGTCCACAGGCGTCCGTGGAGATCACATCGATGGTGACGCGGCGCTCAACGCGGGCGGGGTCGGCCCAGCCGGCCGCCCCCGCCGCCGCGGAGCGCCGCTCGGGCCGGCTACGCTCCGACTCGACGGCCAGCTCCGAGCGGCGCGCCAGCGCCGAGTACCTGGCCTACAGCAGCGACGACGAGTTCGAGGAGTTCATGTACGGCGCCAGAGCACGGAGAGCACGCCGCCGCGACTGGGGGACTGGGGTCGGGATGACCGTGACGTGGGCGGGGCCGGTGCCTGCCGTCTCTGCCTGCCACCAGCGAAATAATGTCTTGCTGCGTTGATGCGGGAGTTTTTTTTTTTTAATCCGGGGTAATTCATTCATTCATTGCGCAGTGGAAGGGGGGGCGGATTTCGCCCACCCCTCCTGTTTTTCGCCAATAACTCGCGCCGCAAGCATAATATCAATGTGAAATTTCGGCTACCTGTCCAGAATTGAATTGCGGATCTTCTCATGCAAGAAGTAAGAAAATCGGTTCACAACTTTTCTAGTAATAGCGGTGTAAAGTCAAACATCCTGCCGCCGCGGCGGCGCGGCGGCCGGCGCTAGCCGTTACGCGCCGCCTGAATTGTAGACTGTGCCGGGGCGGGACGGTTCCGTCTTTACATCGCGCTCCTTACCGCTGATTATATTAGATTCGCGTCAAATTCGGTGAGAAGACTGAAAAATGTACAGGCAATCATATGGTTAAAGAATTTTGAAAATCGGCCGGTAACAACTTGAGTTATGAGTGTGTAAACACAAAATTGTGATTGCCGCGTTTCCCGCGTCGGCCGATGCCGCTTCAGCCGGCGACATCTTACCCTTAGCAGGCTTCTAACTGCCATATTTATTGTTGGATTATCTAGAAATTCACCATACATACTCACAAATGTTTGTTCTCTCGTATAGTGAAAGATTTAAAAAAATCGGCCGGTAACTTTTTGAGTTATTGGCGTGTAAACGCAAAAAAAGTCGCTAATATGGCAGATTTGACCACATTTGACCTCATTTGACCTTGAAGATATTGACCTAGGGTCATGAAATTCACACACAACAGAGTTCCCCATGGCCCCCACCTACCTTCCAAATTTCGTCTTTCTAGCTCCACTGGGAGCTGAGATCTTAGGGGGGGGGGCGACATCCGCCCCCCCTTCCACTGGGCGTAGTACTCGCAACCCTTCCACTGCGCGTGTTAATCTCGTTTTACGTTATTTCATGTTCAGGGCATGTGTAGTTGCCCTCTAGCTATAGCAGCAGTCTAGCGCCGGCAGTCACGCTATAGCAGCGGTTTAGCGTTCGATCGTCGCGACATCTATATTAGTTAAGCGCCGATATTCACGCTATAGCAGCAGTTTGGCGTTCGATCTTCGCGACATCTATATTGACCGAGTGTGATTACGCGTGGGTATTTACAAGTACTCGAATGTGGCAGGTACTTTAAATACTCGAATACCATTCTGATGAATATTTCCACGGTTTTCTTTGAATGCTATGAACAATATTTTGTACAACGTTTTCCGAAACAAATAATTCTGCGTTTTGTGTTTCACGTATTCGAATCTAAGAACCTAAAACATTGTGACGTGTCAGCATTTTCGGTATGATAGTGGTGGGCACTGTCGTGTTCCTGCCACGCCCGTTTTGTGCGGCCGACATTCTTGTTCAGGATTGTTTCTGAGGATGGTTTGATTTCCCTGGCGCTAATGAGTGAGTTTAGGAAGTGAAATCTTGCATAACTCTATGTGGATTGAATCAGATAAATGCCCGTTGTTGATGGTGATATGAAACTAGCAGATTTACCGTGATCTCTGTCTGATATCAGCACTTGAACTCTGCGCTGGATTTGTATTTGTTTGCCGCATTTTCATGTATGTAGAGCTAAAGGTCCGCGATAATGCCTAGAAACTAGAAGGTATTTTGAGAATGTTATTTTGTTTAAGGCTGTGAATAGCCAAGCCAAAGGTGTTTCAGGTTTGTCCGTGTTTGAGTACCAAACTGATAACTTTGTTTCTGCAGGAATAATATGAAGAGACTGTTTCGATCGTGTGTCAGAGGGAATCAGCCCCCCAGTTAGTCCGGCATGAGGTGCACACAGTCAGTAAGTTTAACCGATTGAACTGGTCGTTTTCAGTCTTATGATAGTATGTGCCTAGTATGTGCTACTTGCAGTCGAAATGTGTCAAGGACGAACGAGTATGGGTCATGTCAAGGTCTAATCGTCAGATCGAGTGTGGCTCAGTTGTTGTGTTAGGGAAGAGCTCACTGCTGCTATATGTGACGATTGTTCTGACGTGTTGCAGAAACGGATCTATAGACAAGATGAATACAAGGTCCTGTGTTTGACTACACCTGTTTTGGGATGGAGACATGCCGGAACTAATAGTTTTGACTGTCTGCTACAAGACTGCTCATCCGACTGCAACTGGAGTGCATCTACCACGAGACTGCTCACCCGACTGCAGTGAGTGCATCTACCACGAGACTGCTCATCCGACTGCAGTGAGTGCACCTGCCACGAGACTACTCAATGAAACGCAGTGAGTGCCATCTAAGAACTGAGAATGCATAAACTGAAGTCCAGTGAGTTGAAGGCTGAGCTGGAGAGGCGGGGTCTTAACACTAAGGGGACTAAAGCTGAACTATGTGAGAGACTAGAAGCTGCAGTTGGGGATGAACTTGTTGATGCTGGTGCTGACCCTGATGCTCGTGATGTGAGAGGTGTACAGCAATCTGATGGTGCTCATGTCGTAGTGGCAGCCAATGTAAACTCAAACATGACTGATAAGGATTCAGGTGTTAAAACCGATGGTTGTCCTGCTGCTGTTGATAGTGGTAGATCTGTCACTGATGTTGATGGTCAGAGTATAGGAGTTGAATTAGGTGTGAGAAGTGATGTTCTTTCGCACGAACAGGTTGTGCATCCCCAGGATAGTGCATCCAATGTATCCAGAGCATCCCGTTCCTCTACCTCCTCGGTCAGGTCTAGGATAGCTAAAGAAGCAGCAAACAGAGCTGAGTTGGAGGTCAAGCTCAAGCGTATGACAGAAAAGCAAAAGCTGAGCAGGGAGTTAGCCAGATTGCAGGAAGAAAAGGAGCTGCTTGAGATAAATGAAGCCCTTGATGTGTCCAAAGCTCGAGAAGTTGCCTTGTCTGAACAAGTGAAAATGATTGAACGCTCTCAACAGGTGCAAGCAGAGGCGAACATCACTCAACCTCAGTCCGGAGTGCACTGTCAGCAACAACAGCAGGTACTGACGACCCAGCCTCCACATGGAGTACTACAGCCGCAGATGCAAGAGCGAAGACAGTTCGTGGAAGCTCAAGGAGCTCCGACTTCGGTGAGCGCTAGAGGACCAGTTCTCGGTCAGGTCGCCAGTCAGGAACCACTCACTTCAGTAGGACAGTCTTTGGTGTTCCAGCACAGGTTTTCAGACGCTATCCCGGATCAGTATGCTGCATGTTCACAGGCATCACAATTAGCAGGTCAACATGTCGTTCAACATGGTGCTATTCCACACTTCCCACCGATAGATGAACAGAGCATCCATCAAACTACCTCGCGTCCAGTGAATCACCAGGTCGGCGAACGAGTCGTCCGCTCGGCCGGCGCACACACAGTTTCACACTCGTCAGGGGAGAGCGCTCAGCGTGCTCTCGCCGGGTTCATGCGTCTTCCATCAGTGGAGATAGCGAGATTTGAAGGTGACGTCACTGAATATCCCCAGTTCATCCGAGCATTCGACTTGAAGATCGCGTCCAAGTTAGACGACCCTGATGAGAAGTTGTACTACTTAGAACAGTACATGGTTCCTGGTACAAAGCCGCACCACATCGTGTCTGCTTGTATGTATCTTCAGGAGGGCTATGACGAAGCCCGACGGTTGCTAGATAGTAGATACGGACGGCCTAGTACTGTATCAGCGGCGTTCATCGCTCGTCTAGAAAATCACAGTCAGATTCGAGCGGATGATGTACAAGGACTTGATTCTTTTGGTATCTTGCTCACCAAGTGCAGGAACGCTCTGAGTAGTTGCGGCACACACGAGACTCTTCGCGACCCCAGGACACTGAGAACAATCGTGGGGAAGCTCCCTGGGCTACTGATCAACAAATGGAGACACAAAGTTGATGACATCGAAGAGATTGGAGGTCGAGAAGCGAACTTTGACGATTTGGTCGCGTTTGTAACAAAGGAAGCGAGAGTTGCGTCTAACCCCACATACGGTAGGGACATGTTTGGCGGGAACCCCATGAGTAGGACACCGGTGACACGAACGAGTCCACGGATGAGCTCTGGTCGAGCAGTGGTAACGGCGACTCATGTCACGCCGCGTCCCGAGGAGAGCCACTGCGTATTTTGTAACCGACGAGGTCATGATGTGTGTGAGTGTGAGAGTCTCTCCGCAGTCACGAGTCAACAGAAGCAAAACTTCGTCCGGGAGAAGGCTCTGTGCTGGAGCTGTCTGAAGCAAGGACATCGAAGTCGCGACTGCAGGCGAAGAGCGTCGTGCAGGACATGTGGAAGGCGACATCCAACCTCACTACACTGGGAACGATCTGAACAGTACGTGCGGCAATATCAGCAACAGAGTGGACAGCACCCGGATCGAGACGACACTCAGCATCAAAGGGAGGAACAACAGCCACGAGAAGGACAACAGGGCCGTCAGCATGACCAATCACATGTTGTCCAACATCAGCATGGACGTGGACATGAGCTGAATCACACCCAGCAGCAGCAACGAGAGGGGCCTACCGACGCCGCCAGAGTAACAACATGTCAAACAGCGGGTGAGTCTGAGGCTAGCAAGCCAGTTCTCCCTGTTGTGCCTGTTGTTGTTCGTGTTGGTACGAGTACGTGTCAAACATACGCTTTTCTCGATAGCGGCTCGACACATTCCTTCATCTCCTCAGCGTTGATCAAAGAGCTCAACATTGACAACATGCCACGCAAACAGCTTTCACTGACGACAGTCGACAGAAGCACGAAGGTGGAAACACATGTAGTAGAGGGAGTAACGGTTTCGGACCTACGTGGGCGGCACGCGCTCCGGCTGCCTCCGCTGTTCGAATTGGAGCGTATCCCGGTGGACCCAGAGGAGTTCCCCAGCCACCAGCTCGATGTCAGTAGGTGGGAACATCTCACAGGAGTAGAATTCGAGCAGGCAGACGCCACATGCGTTGGACTTCTCCTCGGCGCCAACGCGTTTCTCAGCATGGAGCCGCTGCAAGTGATACCCAGTCGCAACGGAAGCCCGTATGCTGTGCGCACGAGGTTCGGCTGGATCCTGAGTGGGGTGACGTCTTCCTCAGCCACAGACAGCGGAACAAAGGTCTACAGAACGTCGGTGAATGACATCGAAGATATGATACAAGGAATGTATGATCGGGAATACGAAGAGAACCTCAACTCAATGAAGAGAGGCCTGTCTGAGGAGGACAAGAAGTGGCTCACGGTGATGGAGGCGTCCAAGAAAGTTGACAGAGGACACTACCAGTTCAGCATTCCGTTGAAGGATGAAGACGTCGTACTGCCGAACAACCGCGTCCTGGCAGAGAGAAGACTGACGAGTCTAGGTCGCCGAATGAAGAACGATGTTGAGTTCGCTGAGCAGTACCGAGATTCTGTGGAAGAAATGATCGACAAGGGATACGCTGAGCCCGTACCAGTAGCAGACATTCATCGTGACGACGGCAGAGTGAACTACTTGGCGCACCATGGAGTGCGCCACGCGTCAAAGAACCGCATCCGCGTCGTCTATGACTGTGCTATGAAGTACGGCGGTGTCAGTCTGAATGACTGCTTACTGCAAGGCCCCGACATGACGAACTCGCTACTCGATGTCCTGATGCGCTTCAGGATGGAACGAGTCGCCTTCATGGCTGACGTGGAAAGTATGTTCAACCAGGTTCGGGTGCCAGAGTCTGAGCGCGATCTCCTCAGATTTCTGTGGTGGAGAGACGGGCGCCCCGACTCTGGTGTGGTAGAGTATCGGATGACTGTCCATATCTTCGGAGCGAAGTCTTCGCCAAGTGTGGCGTGCTACGCCTTGAGAGAGACGGCGACGGACTTCGCAGAAGAGGTATCACCTGAAGCAGTGAAGACTGTAAACAGCAACTTCTACGTCGATGATGTGTTGAAGAGCACTGACGACGCTGACATGGCCATCTCGTTGGCTCACGACCTGAAGACGCTGCTGGAGAAAGGTGGGTTCAGTCTCAAGAAGTTCACCAGCAACAGCTCGGCGTTTATGTCCTCGATCCAGACAGGCGACAGGTCAAAGGTGATGCAGACATGTACAGGAGTCGGTGAAAGTCTACCAGAAGAGCGCGCCCTGGGCGTAGTCTGGGATACAGAGAACGATCTGCTGAGGGTATCTGTCAACGCGACCAGTCTGCGGGCGAAGCCGTTGACCCGCAGAGGCATCCTTTCAGCAGTGAGTTCTATTTACGACCCGCTCGGTCTCGTTTCGCCAACGATAATCTGTGGCAGGAAGATCCTACAAGATCTCTGCAGGACGAGAGAAATCTGGGACAAGGAGATTCCAGCTCAACAGCGCAGCGACTGGATGAAATGGCTATCTCATCTGGATGCTACTCAAGATCTGTGTGTCCCACGGCATCTGAAGCCAGCTGAATTCGGTGGAATGGCGACGCTCCAGATGCATCATTTCAGCGACGCTAGTGAGTGGGCGTATGGTACAGTCACCTATGCTCGCTTCACTGACCAGCAGGGAGATGTCCATGTCGCTTTCGTGAAAGGTACATCACATCTGGCTCCACTGAAGAAAATAACGATTCCTCGTCTGGAGTTGATGGCTGGAGTGACGGCGGTACGTGTTCGGTTGCTGATAGAGGACGCGATGGAGCTCGGTTCGGAGACAGAACATTTCTTCTGGACGGATAGTACTACCGTTCTCGCATACGTGCAGAACACTGCGACTAGATTCCACACGTTTGTCAGCAACAGGTTGGCGATCATTCACGATGGATCAAAGACTGAGAACTGGAGGTTCGTGAGAGGTGAAGAAAACCCGGCCGATGACAGTTCACGAGGTGTTCAGAGTGAGAGGTGGCTTTCTGGACCGGCCTTTCTTCGGCTTCCAGAGGAGCAGTGGCCCATGATGCCTCCAACCAAGGTGAAGATAGCGGAAGAAGACCCTGAAGTGAAGAAGGTGAAGGTCTGTGCAATGAAGGTGTCAGAAGAGAAGATGAAGGATCCAATCGAAGTGCTCATTCGTCATTACAGTAAGAAGCAGGCTCTTCTAAGGGCAGTGGCTTGGCTGCTGAAGGTGAAGAAGAGATTGCAGGAAAGAGCGACAAAATCGCAGGGTCGAAAAACGGAGCGTCCATCTCGACTCCAGCTGATAGATCTCGAAGAAGCAGAGAACTGTGTCGTTAGGTGGGTACAGGAGCAGAGTTTCCCTGATGAGCTGGAGACACTCCGCAATGGGAAGGAAGTGAAGGGAGCTCTCAGTAAGCTGAATCCATTCCTGAGTGATGGGATCCTCCGAGTTGGCGGACGTTTGAAGAATGCTGATGTCACCCTGGACCAGAAGCACCCAATTGTACTCCCGGATTGCTATTTCGCCGAACTAACTGTTCAACAGGTGCATGAGAAGGTCGGACACTCTGGACGTCAACATGTGTTAGCTGAGATACGGAGACGTTTCTGGATCGTGAAAGGGAACTCGATCGTCAGACGAGTGATTGGACGTTGCCTCGGATGCCGCCGACGACATCGCCCACCAGAATCTCAGAAGATGGCGGACCTGCCGAGTGACAGAGTCACAGCGGAAGAACCTGTATTCACTCGAACCGGAGTCGACTATTTCGGACCGTTTTTTGTCCGACAAGGACGGAAGCAGGTGAAGAGGTACGGAGTCGTTTTTACTTGTTTGGCGGTGAGGGCCGTCCACATCGAGGTCGCCGAAAATTTGTCAGGAGATTCATTCCTGTGCGCCTTACGTAGATTCGTCGCACGGAGAGGTCACGTCAAGGTGCTCAGATCAGACAAGGGGACAAATTTTGTTGGTGCCAGTCGCGAGCTTCGAGAGGAGTTGGAGAAACTGCGAAGCAATGAAGATGTGCTGCATCGTACGCTGTTGAATCAAGGAGTAGAATGGAAATTCAACACAGCCGCAGCGTCCCACCACGGAGGTGTCTGGGAACGACAGATACGCTCAATCCGAAGAATCCTGGGATCATTGCTGGACTCGCAGACGTTCACGGAAGAAACTCTGTTGACTCTATTGTGTGAAGTAGAGGCAATATTGAACAGTCGGCCACTCACCCCAGTATCCTTAGATCCGGTTGATCACGAGCCACTCACTCCCAACCATTTGCTGATTGGTACCGGCAGCGTGGTGATGCCGTTCGGGGTAGTAGGCCAGAGTGACTCAGATAGTGTCAAACGTTGGAAGCAGGCGAGGTATCTCGCGAATCTGTTCTGGAAGCGGTGGCGAGCAGAATACTTACCGTTGTTACAGGAACGACCGTATAGGGTGACAAGGAAAATGACTAACCTTGTTGTAGGAGACGCGGTTCTAGTTGTTGATGATGCTGTGCCGCGAGGCCAGTGGCCATTAGGAGTAGTGGAGCGAGTACGAGTCGGAGCAGACGGATTAGTGCGCTCGGTAGAGATTAAGACCAGAGGCGTCACGCTTCAGCGACCGGTGACTAAGCTGATTAAGCTGTAGGCGAGATCGTGTACTCTGTATGGAAGATGTTCCTGTGCGTCATGTTCGTGTCGTAGACTAAGGTTGAAGCCATGTATTGCGTGGTGGCTTCAAGGGGGCGGGTGTATTTGCCCTCTAGCTATAGCAGCAGTCTAGCGCCGGCAGTCACGCTATAGCAGCGGTTTAGCGTTCGATCGTCGCGACATCTATATTAGTTAAGCGCCGATATTCACGCTATAGCAGCAGTTTGGCGTTCGATCTTCGCGACATCTATATTGACCGAGTGTGATTACGCGTGGGTATTTACAAGTACTCGAATGTGGCAGGTACTTTAAATACTCGAATACCATTCTGATGAATATTTCCACGGTTTTCTTTGAATGCTATGAACAATATTTTGTACAACGTTTTCCGAAACAAATAATTCTGCGTTTTGTGTTTCACGTATTCGAATCTAAGAACCTAAAACATTGTGACGTGTCAGCATTTTCGGTATGATAGTGGTGGGCACTGTCGTGTTCCTGCCACGCCCGTTTTGTGCGGCCGACATTCTTGTTCAGGATTGTTTCTGAGGATGGTTTGATTTCCCTGGCGCTAATGAGTGAGTTTAGGAAGTGAAATCTTGCATAACTCTATGTGGATTGAATCAGATAAATGCCCGTTGTTGATGGTGATATGAAACTAGCAGATTTACCGTGATCTCTGTCTGATATCAGCACTTGAACTCTGCGCTGGATTTGTATTTGTTTGCCGCATTTTCATGTATGTAGAGCTAAAGGTCCGCGATAATGCCTAGAAACTAGAAGGTATTTTGAGAATGTTATTTTGTTTAAGGCTGTGAATAGCCAAGCCAAAGGTGTTTCAGGTTTGTCCGTGTTTGAGTACCAAACTGATAACTTTGTTTCTGCAGGAATAATATGAAGAGACTGTTTCGATCGTGTGTCAGAGGGAATCAGCCCCCCAGTTAGTCCGGCATGAGGTGCACACAGTCAGTAAGTTTAACCGATTGAACTGGTCGTTTTCAGTCTTATGATAGTATGTGCCTAGTATGTGCTACTTGCAGTCGAAATGTGTCAAGGACGAACGAGTATGGGTCATGTCAAGGTCTAATCGTCAGATCGAGTGTGGCTCAGTTGTTGTGTTAGGGAAGAGCTCACTGCTGCTATATGTGACGATTGTTCTGACGTGTTGCAGAAACGGATCTATAGACAAGATGAATACAAGGTCCTGTGTTTGACTACACCTGTTTTGGGATGGAGACATGCCGGAACTAATAGCATGTTTTATTAAATCATCAAAAAGTTACTTATGGCATACCAAATGAGCAATCAGGCTTATCTTCTGACGGCTCATAGAAGGAAATGGCGACAAAACGTCGTGACGGTCTGTTCCTATCCTCGCCTGACGCTGCTCGGCTGCCGTGTTGCAGAAGTCAGCCGAAGACGGACTATACGTACGCCCGCAGTATGAGCTACAACACCATCAGCCCGCAGCACGTGACGCCGCCCAACATGTCGCGTCGGTGTCTGCACTCTCCGGGAGCGGCGGGCATGGGGGTCGGCGCCGGAAGGCGGGACGGTCAGTGGGGGACGGGGAGGGGGGGGGGGGTGGAGACCGGGAGAAGGGAGGAGGGACAGCTCGGGGAGTGTTAGGGGAGGGTGGGGAGTGAGAGGGAAGGGAAGGAGGAAGGAAGAGATGCGACGGGAGTGGTCGAGAGATAAGCAGTGTTGGATGGCCTTAAGTGGGAAGTACATATGTACAGTCCACAGCAGAAGTAATGTGGGGTTTCAGTCATGGGTATGTTCTGCTTCTGAAGCTTAGGAACGATTAGCCAGACTACAATGAAACTTTGAATGTAGCTTATATGTATCGTCACCCTTGCAGCTGCAACTTTAGCTATTGACATCTTCTTTTCGATCACTCTGCATTAACCCGCGCCCTGGTGGGGTCTGTTTATAACGCGACCTGGTGGGGGGGGGCTATTTTTTGCCCCCCCCCCCCTCGTATCTCCGAAACTACTGGACGGATCCGCAAAATTCAAACGGCGTTCGAAAGGCCTGTCAAATTTTTCAAAGGAAACCAAATTTCATTGACCTCGGGGTCACCGATGACGTCACAGGTCAGGTCAAAGATGAAATGTTTCACCGTTCACGGGTCCTCTACGGAATGCGCTATAACACCGAGGAAAACGCATTTTGTCGAGAATCAGCGATAGGGCGTCAGTTGCCTAGTAGATATGTTGCTATTAGAGGTCACTGACAATACTAGGTCAGGTCACAGGTCAGGTCACCAAGGGTCACAGGTCAGGTCACATGAGCCCAACTTTACTAAGGTTGTGTGATGCATGTTTTATGGCCAATTTTTCATTTCCAACTCAATGGTGTTGGTTATAAGACTATCAGGTACGGCTTAGGTCACTTTCTGGTGAAGTTTAGGTCAAGGTCAGGTCAAGGTCAGGCCAAAAAAGGTCAAATTTTAAAGTTGATAGTTTTGCATAAAATGGGTATTGATTCGATGCAGTTCGTCACGGGGAGTTTAATGGTGGTCTTTGTTTTGCGCTACGGGGTCTAGAATTGCTAAAAATTGAGTTTGAAAATTTGACGTCAGCAATTTTGAACAGTTTTTTCGCTATAACTTCGCCAAAAAAAGAGGTATCAATCTCAAATTTGGTATGTGCATGGAAGGCGCTAAGGACTATCACATATGTATATTCCGGTTTTTGCGAAATTCAAAAAACTTTTTGGATTTTTTGATTATTATATCGAATTTTTATTTTTTATTTTTGGGGGTCAAAATCTAAAGATTTCAAAAATCCGAGATAGCAGTTTTGTAGCCCTGTCGATTCTACAGCTTTTATGTCTTTATCATTTTTCTGTATTTGCAAAGCTATAGGCCTGAGAGCTCTTCCGGCGAGACCCTTTTTTGGGTCGAAAACGGCAGAACATGACGTCATTCTGACGTCATTTCCGGCCAACCTATCATAGCCTTTGGAAAATTTTTTGGTCACAATGTGTAAAATTGATGTCCGGGAGGGTACTGTAAGTTTGGTGACGATCGGCGTAGCGGTTCTCGAGATATATCGAAAAGTCTGGAGGGGGGGGGGGCAAAAAATAGCCCCCCCCCCACCAGGTCGCGGGTTAAACAATCGCCAGTCAAAGCCAACCGTTGAGATTGGTAAAACCCTACATTACTTTAGCGGTGGGCTGTACCACTCATGGCAGAGGACAGGATACTGGAGCAGAGGAAAACATTGGTAGAGAAAAGGGTAGAATAGTGACTGAGGAGGCGAATAAAAACGGGGAGGAGAGAGCTGGGTCGTTCTCACGTTGTTTGTATGGACCTTTGTTTGGTCATCTCATCGATTGCTATTAGTGGTGTCAATCGGAACTTAAATCTTCGGAATTCCGATTTTGTCCAATGTCCAATTCGGAATTCGGTTGGACAATGGCAGCAGGCTTTGGACAACTTTGGACAATCGCTTGCTACACCTCAACATTTTTAAAAAGTAGTCGTGTTTAACATTGATTGGCTATTAGAAAGCTCAGCTTTCGATATGATTAACACTTTTGAGCTTGTAACGGTACATGAAAAGCAAATTAAATAACAGTGTTGAGTGTCAACTATTGCGTAGGTGTCGGACATCTTTGGACAAATTGCTGGCTTGGACATTTTTGGACGGACAATCGACGTAAGCATTGGACATTGGACGAACTTTGGACATACGTTTTCTGAAATTGACACCACTAATTGCTATACTAGCTCGGCAGTACATTGCCAATAGAGTCGTTAAATCGGACTCCATTCAAGACGTAGTGGTACGTTGTGCCACCTGTGTTGCTGACTGGCCGGCCGCGTCGCTCCGTTCACAGACCGACTGGACCTGGAGCTGTCGAGGGATGTGCACGACTTCTCCTTCAGTCGGGAGCTGGCCTCCCGAGTCACCTCCTCGAGAACCACCACCGCCGCCACCTCCGCCAAAGGTCGGTATCTGCAGACACGGGGATAGGCTCCAAACTGGAGCTTGGCGGGAGAGCGATGACCACAGAATCGTTCTTGTGGACATGCTGGCGTTTGGAGTTTGAGTTGCTAGGATCACTTACCAAAATGTGAACAGTCTTAGCAAGGGATGATGCAATCATTTACGCGGAATATACTGGTTTAATCTAACCGAATCGTAATGCTTGCGATGTCATTTGATTTTTGTGAACAAAAATGGAAATGGCGCTATAATCAAGTTGCTGAATCTGTTGATGCCGCTGTGTAATTCCAGACCGATTGACCGGCACCACGGCCCCCACCTCCTCCTCTCCTTCCCACCCGGTCGCCGTGGCTACCGTCCTGCTGAGCTCCTCCGGCGCGCGCGGGGACGCCAGTCCTCGCACCGCCCCGTCCTCGGCTTCCTCGCGGTCCAGCGTGCTCCTTCGACGGAACGCTGGCGGTTGGTACCAGTGCGTGTGCTGCTGGATCCTCGCGATCTTACAGCGTTTGCCAGTATCGGGACTGTGTGCGGAGGGCAGGAGGATCGTGTTACATTTACCGGGGCTCGTTGTGCTGTAAACAAGATGTAATCGTACACCGTCAGTGCGACTATGATCGCTGTAATGTGATCGTACGTTATTGGCGTAGGACGGACAGGGACAAGGACTTTGGTGTTAGCTGTAGGCTTCGGTTGTACTTTGTTCGCGCTTCGTCAGGTCAGTGTAGGACCACGGATCTGCAACTGCCGGACTTTAAACTGATTAGATTCCTGTCAACGTTTGACCGGACCAGTGTCTAGTCGGGTCTGAGGCTGTATAACACGCACTTTCTCCTGTGTTGGTCGGGTCTGACACCGTTCACACTTTGCTGCAGGATCTCTGTACCGCATCTCCGGCGGTCTGGACGTCGACTCCGGCGATGAGGACTGCGTGGAGAACAACAACATCTCAAAGTCGTCCTCACACGAGAGCTACAAACTCACACGGGAAACAAAGACAAACCGTGAGTTATCAGTGCAGTCTTCATATTTACTTTGTGCTTTTGGAAGGGATGATTGATGCCAGGGAGACTTTTTCACGAAAAGGATAAATATTTTATTGAATGCGTGTCAAAGTGAGTCAAACCAGTTCAGCCTTTTTTTGACATGCCTTTTCACCCAAATGGTACGCAAGTGTCAGCTCTCCCTGCGTCGGTGTCTGACAATGGCCTTTTCTCGGCAGGTCGGACGGTCACCTCGGTGCTGCTCACCCTGCTCTACCCCTTCACCTACCTGTGGATGGTGGTCAGCGACACCGGCCGGCGGCTGGTGTGGCGGCAGCGTACCGCCGACACCGCCCCCGCCCCCGCCCCCGCGCCGGCCGCTCCGCAGCCCGGCACGGTGGAGTACCGCCGTCTGATGCGGGGACTGCCACAGTTGGGCACGGCGGCCGGTGGCGGCGGCGGCGGCGCTCAGCGGCACTGGTCTCGCAGCACCGGCCCGCAGGCGGCGCCCGCCCGGCCTGAGACTATCACCGGCCGGGTGACCCGGTCCGTCACCACAGCGGTGAGCCGCACCGTCACCACGGTGGTGACGTCTGTGCTGGTGACGGTGACCACGGTGGTGTCGCTGCTCTGGTGGCCGGTGCGTCAGGCGGCCGGCGCCGTCTCCTCTGCCGGCCGCCGCTCGGCCGCCTGGGCCCGCTCGGCCGGCGAGGCTGCCGATGTACCGCGCCGCTCTGCCCGGCTGCTGCACTGTCTCAGTCCGCGCACCTGGGCGCGCGCCGTGGGTGCCGGGGCCGGCCGCGCGGCCGCCGCCGTCAGCTCGCTCAGCCCGGGCCGACTGCGGCGCTCGGCGGCAGCGGGGGACTGTGTGGATGGTGGCGCCGCACACCGTGGCTTCGCTCCCGTCTCCTGGGTCCGCTCGGCGCTTATGACCATCCTGACCAGCGTGCAGTGGGCCGCCACCGCCGCCGCTCAGACCGTCACCGGAGCCGCCTCGGGAGCGGCCGGCGCCGTCGGCAGCGCCGCCAGCGGTACCGTCAGCGTCCTCAGCAGCGCCGCCAGGGGCACGGCCGGTGCCTTCGGTGGTGCCGCCAGGGGCACCGCCGGTGCCGCCAAGGGCCTGGTCGGCTCGCTGGCTGCCGCCGGCGGCGGTGCGTGGCGCTCTGTCTGGCCGTGGGCGGAGACGGAGACAGCGTCTGGTCGACACGGCGCCGTCCTGTCGCCAGAGGAGGCTGGCCAGCGGCGGCGGCGGCTGTGCCTGTGCCTGCTGCCGCTGCTGCTGCTGCTGCTGGCCCTGCTCCTGCCTCTGCTGTGTGAGTACAGAGCGTGATTGCGAGCGGTTTGAATTGAATGTTTTATGCTCGCGTATCTGACTTAGTTGGGTTCCAATGCAAACATGCCAGTATGCAAGAATGTGTCGCTTGTTTGTGCTGATCGGGCCTCTATATCAGCTGTGCAGGAGGTCTGTTCTGTCGGTATGACCTGGGCTTCTGTAAGTCTGTACGGCGAGTCTTCTGTAGTTTGTACTGACCGCTCTCTGTGTCAGCGCGGGGGGGGGGGGGGGACAGTACTGTAAGTAGGACCCGGTAGCGGTCCCACAGTCTGTTCAGAAGTCTGTACTGACCAGCCTGTTTTCTCAGGGGGCCTGTACTGTGAGGAGGACCTGGTGGCGGTCCCACAGGCGTCTGTACTGACCAGCCTGTTTTCTCAGGGGGTCTGTACTGCGAGGAGGACCCAGTGGCGGTCCCACGGGAGTCTGTATTGACCCGTCTGTTTTCTCAGGGGGTCTGTACTGCGAGGAGGACCCGGTGGCGGCCGTGGCAGTGGACAGTCAGGAGTCGGCGACACTCAGCCAACTGAAGGCCGCCCCCGCCACCGCCTGGACCGCCCTCAGAAACACGGCAGCGTTTGTCGGAACCAGCACAGTCGATACGGCCAGCGTGAGTAACCGAATGGACCCGGTGGGCAGACCATGACCGTAGCCGGACGGATAGTAAGGGCAGAGAACGTGCAACACCAACTGCACACCAACACTTACACCGCAAACATACTTGCCAAATGCACAGTACACTTAAAAGGGCGAGTCATAAGTGCTAATAAAACAGGTCAACACTTCGACTTCGATGTCGATTTTTCACCTTTCCGTGCGAAGCCATTTCCAGCCAGAGGTAGAACTTTTTTTTGCATTCTGCTATTGTGCGATCAAATTCTTCCAGTCGTACATTTTTGTGAGTCTGTCACACAGTTTTCTGCTGTGTAGTTTACGACAGTCAGAAACTTCCACGAAAGGTAGACCATCCTGCTCTTTCTCACCTTGGCCGTGCGTATTCCTTGCGAATTCTGCTCAGCCATCTGAGGGGGTCGGCGGCAGCTGGCGGCAGGTGAGCTCGATCTTGTCGTCGCGGCCGTCGATCCAGCGGACCCCGGTCATCACCTCGCCGACCGCCGAGTGGCAGCTGATCAGCTGCGGCAGCGGCTTGTTGGCAGTCAGTGTGACGGTGCGCGGCGGACCGAGCGGCTGGGCGGCGGCCAGAGCCGTCACCACCAGCGGCGCGCCCAGACACCCTTCCTCGATGGAGATGCTGCGGACCACCGCCTGTTCGTCCACAAACTCGTACGTCTTTGTGTCCTTGGCCTGGTTGGTGAGGTTGCGCTCGCCGCTGGCGTTGGCCTGCAGTTGGACGGGCAGGCAGACGAGCTGCAGCAGCGGTGCTATCGGCGAGCCCTGCTCGGGTTTCTTGGTGACGAGGCCGACGGCCAGGGTGCCGGGTGGACACTGGGCCGTGCCGTTCAGCGGGTCGCAGGGCACGGTCACGGCGCTGGGCGGCGGCGGCGCGGCCACACACTGCTCGCCCTCAGCCAGCAGCGGCGGCGCGCACCCGCAGACGGCCGACAGGCAGACGGCGCCGGGCGCCAGCCGGTCGCAGTCGGCGTCCGCAGCGCAGTGGTCCGTCAGCCGGGCGGCCTGGGTGCGCAGCAGCAGCACGCAGTCGGCCGCCGGCCACTCCCAGGTGGACGTGTTGCCGCGCCGGCCGTACAGTCGGCAGACGGCCGGCGGGCCGGGACAGTGGCCGGCGCTCAGACAGGCCGGCCGCGCCGCGCACGCCTGCTGGCACCGACAGCGGTCCAGCGCGGCCGGCGGCGCCACCAGCTCCGAGTCGGCCAGCGCGGCCGGCTCGGCGAGCGGCTCAAACGTCACCGGCAGCAGGGGGCCCTCCGCGTCCGACCCGGTAACCAGCGGTACTGCCGCCAGTAGCAGGAGCAGCGAGCAGGCGGCGCCGCACAGACCCATGGCTCCTCCGCGGGCGGCTCGTCGTCTCCCATCTACACAAACTGGAGAAGTCACAGACTTTATACCGGACCGGCGGGCCTGTTGTCCGTGGTGACTGGCCACCATCACCGGATTCGTACCCGTCCAGTCGTAGCTAACAGCTGTTTGGCGGAAGATGGTGCCCGTTTGTGGTGCTGATGAGTATCATTGGTGCTAGTCGCACACACTCTAATGGTGTTTGCCAGCCGGAAGTGGGCTGCGTGTTCTAGTTGAGTAGATTGGTCACACTTTTTGCGATGCTCAGGTAACTCAAACAACGGGATGTTGTAATCAACAAGACTATTATGACCAGCGGTCCGGAAGGAATCTCATTCGCTGATGGTCGTAACGGAACGACGTGTTTTCCGACATTCCCGCCAATTTGATGTCCGTCAGATACTGCTGTTGGCGTGTCGCACTCCGGTGCTGCTCTTATTTATGCAGCTCCGACCCAACCCGCCAGTTTCTTGTGTTAGTCCTGTGCTTAGTCGTTTATTTCATTTCACTAATGGATTCTTCAATGTTATATTTCATATGCGACACGCTATATACACCATGCAGGGTGCCTGTTTTATTATTGTTAACACGTAGGAGGGCTCAATAGGCTGATTGTTATTTGCCCGGGTTGTGAAATGGGGTGCTTCTTGTTCTTCTAACAAACAATCCTGCTTCGGCCCTTGCTGGACCGGGTGACGCTGCAATCTTGTTAGCATATTGGACCATACGATGTCAGGCAGGAGTATACTCGACTCGGAGCTCATTCTAACCGTGTTTACCCCCTTGCAGAGCGTGTACGGCTACCTGGCTATGCTGGGGAGCTCCGCCCTGCTGGCGGTACCGGCGGTGGAGCCGGAGCAGGCCACCCCGTCTGCTGCGCCCGTGGTACCCGCTTTCCCGGTGGTGCCCGCAGTACCCGCCGCTGCTCCGGCCCCGCCGCCCCCCACCGAGTCCCTGACGGCGGTCTACGCCCGGCTGGAGGAGCTGCAGACCAAGCTGGCCGCGCTGCAGATGGACTTCCAGGTCAGTCAGTGTTAGCGGCTAGGTGGCTGTGAGGTTAGTGCTGTATTTGTATGTGCCGCCCGTGCCCCCTGAAATCTCGATTGGTGTGTGACGCCCATGTCTTTTTCCCGCAGTCGTGTCGCGCAGCGTCCGAGGCGGCCACCCAGCCGGCGGCGGTGCGGGCCGCGCTCGGACTGGGCTCCGGCCAGCTTTTGACTGCCGAGCAGCTGGCGGCCGCCGAGCAGCGCCAGGCCGAGCAGCTGTCGGCGCAGCTGGCGGCCGTGCGGCAGCAGCTGGAGCAGAGCGGCGCGGAGCGGCAGGCGGCGCAGCGGGCCGAGTTGGAGGCGCGGCTGGCGCAGCTCGAGCTGACGGCCGGCCAGCTGCGGCAGCTGCAGGACGGCTCGGAGCGCACGGAGCAGCGCGCCGCCGGCCTGACAGACGAGCTGGCGCGGCTGCAGCACGACTTCAGCGACCTGCACCGCACCCTGCTGGCCGTCCAGGTACGCAGCTGTGGCGGCCCGGCCCGCCGCGGCCCGAGCTGTAGTGCAGTCCGACCCAGCGCTGCCGGAGCGGCAGTGCAGTCTGACCCGCCGCAGCTGAGAAAGGGATGTACCCCGAGCCACCGCGGCTCGAGCGGCGTTAGCTGTATGAGCTGTACGTTGTGACTAGTTCCCGATTTGTGTTACTGTGCGCCTCCCAATATTGTCCACCATAACGTCCCACCTTTGTCCGCCCTTTTCAGGAGAGCCTAAAACAGGTTCGCTCCTGCTGCAACCGCACCGACCCCGACTGGAGCACACTGCTCAGCCAGCGACTGCGCAGTCTGGAGAGCGACCTGGAGGGGCGACTGCAGGGCTTCGCCGCCACCATCAAAGAAGGTATGTACTCCTCGCTCGTTGTATCCAGGTGATAGTACGTTAATCATGTAGGCTGGTTTCTATGTCTGCGTGTCTGTATCACCGACACCATACCTACCTCCACATATTTTCCGCGATTCCATTCCACTGCTTTCCGGACAGCGCCATCTTCACTCGCCGTGTGAGTGACGCTGATCATTTCTCGGCAGATCTGGCCTCGGAGTCTGTCTCCGCCGCTGCCGCCGCCGCCGCCGCCGCCGCGGGCTCAGGCGGCGTCAGCAAAGAGGACGTGGTGCTGATCGCGCGCGAGGCGCTGGCCCAGTACGACGCCGACAAGACGGGAAAGTTCGACTACGCCCTGGAGTCGGCCGGCGGCAGTGTCATCAGCACAAAGTGCACCGAGTCCTACAACGTCAAATCAGCTCGCATCTCTGTGCTGGGCATCCCTCTGTGGTATCCGTCCAATAACCCGCGCACCATTATACAGGTGAGAATGTGTGCGGATTTTGTGTGAATTGGTGCAGATTATGCGAGTCACGAAGGGGCCTAAAGGCCACCGCAGGGGATCACTGGGGAAGCTACAGAGAACTCTCGCCAGAATTCATTCAGAATTATGTTACTATTCCATCTTATTTCAATTAGAATTGTGTCTGAAGTAAATCACTTATAAAATGTTTGTCCTGTTGGGCGTAGTATTCAGCCGCAGTTTGCGCCCGCTGTTAGCCGCCTCTACTTTCCCGCCACGCTGCCTTACGCGCTGTTACTGACCTCACACCTCCCTCCGCTTCGTTCGCAGCCGTCCGTCAGCCCCGGCGAGTGTTTCGCCTTCCGCGGCCAGGGCTACTTTGTCATCTCTCTGTCGCGGCGCATTGAGCCCACCGAGTTCATCATGGAGCACATCCCGCGCAACCTGACGCCCACGGCGGCCATCGACTCGGCGCCGCGTAACTTCACCGTCCTGGTGAGTCATGACTACAGCCTGCCCTCTGGAGCTGGCGGGCCTGCGACTCTAATATGGAGTGGGCTAAGTGCTAGGGGAGTGATTTAGCAGGAAACTGCCTATCGAGTTATTGGCTGATAAGCTGATTTATTTCGAACATTTTTCGTGTTTATTTTGCTTTTTCGTTGTCTTGATTTCAATTTCCAGTCCCAAGATAAGGCAAAGTAAGATGTTCTCCGCTCATAATGTGAATAGCTTCTGACATGGCGAGGATGTGCAGAGGGCAGCCACCGCCTGCTGCCAGCTGGCTGCTGTGCTGTCTGACTGCCGAGTAGGCTCTGAGCACACTCCCCCACCCGCCGGACAGGGTCTGCGGGACGGCTCGGACCAGGAGGGCGTCCTGCTCGGCCGCTACCTGTACAGAGAGTCGGGGCCGCCGCTGCAGGCGTTCCCGGCGCGGCCGGCCGGCGCCACCTTCTCCGTGGTGGAGCTGCGCGTGCACGACAACTGGGGCCACCGCGACTACACGTGTCTGTACCGGTTTCGCGTGCACGGCCGGCCGGCGGACACGGACGCGGACGGCGGCCGGTAGTGGCGGCGCTGCCCCGGGAGCCAGTCAGTACAAACCAGCGCCGCCGCTGCCGCCGGCCTGGACCGGGGGACCGGGGAGGGAGTCTCGAGACGACACGACCGTCCAGCCGACCGTCGACCGCCGCGGGACGCGCCCAGAGCGGGCTGCTTGTGAGGCGCGCCGAGGGCTCAGCGCCCGCGCCGCCGGCTTCTAGAATCTATTGCCAAAGTCTGCTCTGCACGTGCTGGAGAGGAAGTGAGCTGTTTTATTTTGTGCCGTGCGAGAGCGTTGTCATTTTGTACACATTCATCCAGCGTTCTGCGGAGGCACTGAGCATCTGAGCCACTGTGTGCTGTAGATGTGTGAGCGTGAGAGTGAGAACCATTGATCATGCACTGCGATTCACCCACCATACGGTTAGGGTACAAAGAACGTCGTGCTAAGACATCGCCCTGGGCAAGCATAAATCGGTCGCTTCAGCTTTTTGGGACCAGTGCGTGAAATAAAATCGTGCTTTTAGAATAGCTTTTGCATGACGGAATGTTTGAAAGGCCACGGATAATATGTTTTGGGACTTTGTCCACGAAAGCGCCATCCGCACAACACTGATAGGATGCCAAGACTGCTGGTAGGAGACTTCAGGCGTTGTATGAAGCATAACTGAACCCTATTAAAATGTTATTCAATTGCCTTTGCAAATGAGTCTGCGAAAGTTACATAGTAGCAAACTCTAGTACAGTCGTGTACAGGTTGATGGTCCTCTACTCTTTATCCACCGGGTTCCTATGGCTCAGCATTGGCAGCAGCCGCCTGGTACCGGTAGGCTGTGCCGCATGACCCGAAAGTTATGCGGCACAGTCTACCCGCGCCGTTTGACATCGGCTCGGGTCGCCGGGTGGTGGAGCGCTTTGTAGACCAGCTGTTGCGTCAGACCAGCGCGGGGGGGGGAGGGGCTCGTCTCAGCGGTTGGCGTGGGCTGGCGAGTGGTATGGGGCGTGTTGGTGGACCATTGGGGCTGGTCGGGTGTGTGTGGTCACTTCCTGGACCTGCATTGCACATTTTGCGTCGCTTAACAATTGCATTCCTGTTTTTGATAAGCACAATGCACGGAAGACCCAGCGAATATAATTTACTTTACTTGTGCATTGTGCAAAACGTGATTTGGCACGGTATCGAGGCAACCATAGGTCTTGTGCCTATGCATGATATTTAGGCAATACGTTTATGAAAACGGTAGATTGATGCTGGATGTCAATTCGTATGCTAAATGTCGGCACGTATGAATGAATGAATCAATCAATCAATCAAACAATCAACCGACATGTATAAAACCGTATAAATGACTCGCAACCACTAATAGCAATCAAACCATCCTAACTCGGAAAAGCAGCCGGAGCCCTGGTGAGGCTCGAACCGGGACTCCACGCCGTAAATTTTGCCTATGATCCATCATCATTTCACCAAGCTAGAGTGACCGGCACCCGAATCCACAAAAACATTAATTGACTTTGCCGCCGACCTCCCGGCCCCGCCGCCCGCCCGGCCAGACTTTGCCCCGGCCGTAGCCACCATCCGGTGTAGCTCAGCCAGCGTAGGAGTGCGCGACTGTCAAACTGACCGGTAGTGAGGGGCCCGGTTCGAAACGCTTCGGATGCTGGATATTTATTTCTCGTTGGGAGACTTTGCGTTTAGTCTACTTTTCAGAAAGATCATTTGGTGACTGGCCTGTTTTCTTTCTTTGCTGCAATTCATGAGGAGACCGTATGCACCCTTACCTGTCCTTCCGTACCCCACTTGGGAGAGGGTGATTGACCCCCCCCCCCCCCACATGGGTTTTGTGAATATCTCTAAAACGAATTTTTGGAAGGGGATACGATCGGTCCTATGCGACAAGTGACCACACACGCCCAGCCCCAGGTCCGCTCACTCACTCCCCACATCACCCCTCCCCACGCCACACTCCAGCCCGCCTCATCCACCGAGCCGAGCCATGACGAGCCTCAGGGCACCGGGGCGCGACCTGTCAGCGAACCGGCGAGGACGGAACCGGCGGTTGCGTGCGCCGCGGGGGCAGGGACGCGTCCAGGCGTCGCACAGTGATGCAAATGGGGTTCACGAGTGGCCATAAATACCCAAAAGTCAAGTTTACCAAATCCAGTTAATTGCGATATGGCCGAGTAGACAAATGTTTGGGGCATCTGAAATCACATGGTTTTCATGTTTTTGTCAAAACCGGCCTCGTGTATAATCGTCAGAAGTCGTGACATTTTCTAGGTCGTAAAATGACGGTTAGACACTCGCAAGTTCAAACGCCGCTGGTTTGCGTTCATTTCGTACAAATTGAAAAAAAATTATGCATGGGAATGATCCCCAAAGCCTTCTGCTTCTAAAGCTGGGTCACAAAAAGCCGTATCTCATTCGCTTTGGCGGTAGTCTGACTATTTATCATCATGTTGCAATCGCAGTTTTTTACTAAGAAAAAAATGCTTTCGTTTCACCTACAGCAGTCAGCACTTAACACAGTGTGTGCTCGTTAGTGCACCATACCATAGCCTTCCTTAAGCATTTCTGAGTCACATCGTGAAAGAATTAAGGCGCTAGCACAGGGCTGACCGGCGCTACAAAGGTTTTTGTCCGGGCGGTCGGGTGCCGCAGTGGGCGCGCAGTTGGGCGGGTGGGTGCCGCCGCGCGGTGTCCGGGCGGCGCGGCGGCGCGGCCGCCCGGTCCGCCCGCTGCGCCGCAGCACCCGACCGTGCCGGACGAAAACTTCTGTAGCGCCGGTCAGCCCTGTGCTAGCGCCTTAATTCTTTCACGATGCGACTCAGAAATGATTAGGGAATGCTATGATATGGTGCACTAGCGGGCACACACTGTGTGGAGTGCTGTAGGTGAATTGAAAGCAAATATTTTTGGTAAAAAACTGCGGTTGCAACATGATTACAAATAGTTAGCTTACCGCCATACCAAAACAGATACGGCTTTGTATGACGTGGCATTAGAAGCAGCAGGTTTCGGGGATCATTTTCATGTATAATCTTTGCAGTTTGTATGACATGAACGCACGCTAGCGGCACTTGAATTTCAAGTACCTGACAGTCATTTTGCGACATCGAAAATGTCTCGACTTCTGACAATCCTACACGAGGCCGGTTTTGACAAAAACATTAAAATCATACTTTTTCAGACACCCCAAACATTTGCCTGACTGGCCATATTACGATTTATTCTTTTGAACTGAACTTGAATTTTGGGCCTTTTTCGTATTTATGGCCACTCGTGAACCCCATTTGCATCACTGTGCGTCGGGGACATCGAGGCGGCGCGAGCTGGCGCCACCACGGCGACACTGGACCAGACCTGATAATTGGACACCTCAACATTCAGTCGTTCAGAAGCTCAAACTGCCGGATCTGCGAGAAGACATTCGTAGAGTTCACGGATTTGATATATTGTCACTGTTATTATATAACATCGCTGACAGGTCGCGCCCCGGTGCCCTGAGGCTCGTTATGGCTCGGCTCGGTGGATGAGGCGGGCTGGAGTGTGGTGTGGGGAGGGGGTGATGTGGGTAAGGAGTGAGCGGACCTGGGGCTGGGCGTGTGTGGTCACTTGTCGTATGGGACCGATCGTATCCCCCTCCAAAAATTCGTTTTAGCTATATTCACAAAACCCATGGGGGGGGGGGGGCAACCACCCATCTCCCAAGTGGGGTGCGGAAGGACAGGTAAGGGTGCATACGGTCTCATTATGAATTGCAGCAAAGAAAGAAAACAGGTCAGTCACCAAATGATCTTTCTAAAAAGTGGGCTAAACGCAAAGCCTCCCACCTAGAAATAAACATCCAGCATCCGAAGCGTTTCGAACCGGGCACCTCATTACCGGTCAGTTTGGCAGTCGCGCACTCCTACGCTGAGCTACACCGGATGGTGGCTACGGCCGGGGCAAAGTCTGGCCGGGCGGGCGGCGGAGCCGGGAGGTCGGCGGCAAAGTCAATTAATGTTTTTGTGGATTTGGGTGCCGGTCACTCTAGCTTGGTGGAATGATGATGGATCATTGGCAAAATTTGCAGCGTGGAGTCCCGGTTCGAGCCTCACCAGGGCTCCGGCTGCTTTTCCGAGTTAGGATGGTTTGATTGCTATAAGTGGTTGCGAGCCATTTATACCTACGGTTTTATACATGTCGATTGATTGTTTGATTGATTGATTGATTCATTCATTCATTCATTTAATACGTGCCGACATTTAGCATACGAATTGACATCCAGCATCAATCTACCGTTTTCATAAACGTATTGCCTAAATATCATGCATAGGCATAAGACCTATGGTTGCCTCGATACCGTGCCAAATCACGTTTTGCACAATGCACAAGTAAAGTAAATTATATTAGCTGGGTCTTCCGTGCATTGTGCTTATCAAAAACAGGAATGCAATTGTTAAGCGACGCAAAATGTGCAATGCAGGTCCAGGAAGTGACCACACACACCCGACCAGCCCCAATGGTCCACCAACACGCCCCACACCACTCGCCAGCCCACGCCAACCAGTGAGACGAGCCCTCCCCCGCGCTGGTCTGACGCAACAGCTGGTCTACAAAGCGCTCCACCCGGCGACCCGAGCCGATGTCAAACGGCGCGGGTAGACTGTGCCGCATAACTTTCGGGTCATGCGGCACAGCCTACCGGTACCAGGCGGCTGCTGCCAATGCTGAGCCATAGGAACCCGGTGGATAAAGAGTAGAGGACCATCAACCTGTACACGACTGTACCATCCGTCGTATATTGCATTCTCGTCATTCACCGTACAAAACAGGTCAGTCGGCGTCCTCCGAAAACATTGCACCCCGGCTCGGATACGGGCTCTGTCGGAAGCGGCCGCTCAGTGACGCCCTCTGTGTACGGCAGCTCGGAAAGCCCACGCCGCGGACCGGTGGCGGACCCCTCTGTATCATCTGCTGACCACTGCCGAGCGTCAGGCCACCAGACCTGGGAGTCAGAGTCGCCCATTGGGAGTCCCGGCCGAGACGGACGGTCTGACAGATACACAGGACACTCGGGCACAGGTTACACTGTCAGCCATAGCTGCCGCCACGGCCCCAGCTGCGCCCCTACCGCCTACCAGCTCCGGAAGGCACGGTATACAAATACCGCCCCAACTTAGATCTGTAACAGTCGTAAAATATCGCACCTTAAACGGACGTGGAGGGTGGATCGACCCACTGCGGCATCCCCCGCTTAAACATACACCCTATCTTATGTATATGAATCTCTTGCTCTAAAATAGCATCACAATGTAATGGCTAATCGGGCCTGTCAAGCTCTGGCCGGCGCGAGTCTCCACTGTGCAGGACCTCCGTCCAGCGGAGTCGCACAGGGCGGATAAAACCGCCGTCACACACCCACCGCGGGTGACCACGCGAGGGCGCCACACTCGCTCTCACGTGAACAGATCTCAAAGGTACAGTATAAGGCGACACGTTTTCTCCGTCACGACGTTAGATACCGCCCCTACAGCGATACA